GTTTCAGGGGGTCCCTAAATCTGCTTACAGGAACGTATTTTGTCTCTCTGAGATGGTCACAGGACTGTTTTACTGGGAGTTTTGCCTGCTAAGTAAATGCAGGATTCAAAGTAAATTAGTCCCTCGTGCATTAAGCACTGGCCAGTCCTTGCAATTCATGTTCTACCTCCGTAGAACAAATACTCGGTGTCTCCCATGACAGATAAATACCTGTCAGCTCAGGAGCATACAGAGTCAGGGAGACTACACAGAAAGTCTGCAGCCACAGCACAGTGCAGAGTGCAGGTATGGAAGAGAGGCTCTTGCAGAAGCACTTACATGATTTCAACGTTCTTGCAGTGGGGGCCACTCTGCGTCAGCTTCACATCTTGAATAGATTTAGGGTGGATGAACTTCGAGTGAGTGCTTATGCACTGGCACCGGAGCTCGTTTCCCATCCTTACCAGGCTCCTGCCTATAAGCAGAAAAGGAAGATTGCACTTTGAGAGGCAGTCTTATCATCGCTGTATTGACATAAAGCATGGCTGCTCCGTTTTAACAACATTCTAGATTAGAGTCCTGCATTTGGCCAAGCTGACTAAATCCTCACAATGTAAAAATCAGTTGCTTATTTTTTTTAGAGTATCTGATACCTGAGCACATTCAAAATTAAATTAGCGTGATGCTTTAAAATGAAACCACACATTTTGTTGTTACTTGCACTGACAACACTGTTGATTCCATCATTTCACTATCTGGATTGACAGACTGGCAGCTGTCTAGAAGATAGAGCCTTTCATTTTTTCCCTAGCTTGAGGCTTGTCTTTGCTGCATGTTTTATTGTTTGTTCTCCATTGCCAGCTGTATATTGCTTGCCTGAGGCAGCATGGGCAAGAAGTAACAAACATGAGCTGATAAGCTGGAAAATACTGTCCTTCATATGGGAAGGCAGAGGAACATTCAAACACTTTCAAGAAGATCCCGTCTCTAGCCAAATGCACTTGAAATACAGAAGCATAGCAAATTTCAGTAATCCTTAAAATTTTTCCCACAAGATGTCAGTAACTCTTCAGTACAAGAGCTACACAGTACGTTTCTGACTGAGGAGAAGCGGCTGAAAATATTTCAGAAGAAATCAACTTGCTGAAACAAGCATAAAGCTACCTTTCTGCAAGGACACGCGTCTCGGCAGATGCCAAGGCAGTGCTGCAGGCAGGTGGGTCTCGGCAGGGATTCGCTTACCTTGGGACAGAGCCACGGAAATCAAGAGAAGAGCCAGGACAACCCCAAGTTTGCCGTTCATGATTAGAGAGGAGTTTTTAGCTTGGCTGTTGAACTCAGGTTCTGTGGAGCTGTGACCTCTCCTGTCAGAGGATTGCTGATGTCTGATCTGGGCGATCCATCGTGCTTTTATACAGTTTTCTGCCCAACTTGTGTGCTCTGCTAGCTTGTAGATTGCGTTAGAGGAATTTCCCAGATGCAGTAAAAATGAGTCACATGACGAGTGGAGTTGTGAAACTCCTTCCTAGATGACGATGAATTATTCTGCTGCAAATAGTATAATGCATTCATTTATTAAAATATGTAAATAATATCCCTGCAGTCAGTTTCCTTTTTTTTTTTTTTATTTATTTATTGTTTCATAATATAACTTTCTGATGCTTTCAATTACTTTTATGTTATAACTGTATTTTTTTCTTCATGGTAATAACTGTTTTTGTGGGGATGTTTGAGATATTTAATTTCTTCTGTCTCTTGGTGGTGGTAACTTCTACTTATCTGATTTTACACAATTGGTATGGAAATCAGATAGTGCTGAAATCAGTGAAAAGCTTTTCCACTGCAGTCAAAATTTTACCTCTGCACTATTTTGCTTTTTAATGAATTTAATTTTTTGTTTGTTTGTTTGTTTGTTTTTTCTGTTGAAGTGGTATCTTACAAAATAAATTCATCTCCAATACTTTCTGCTTAGTAAAGGAATTGAGGGTGTAGTATTCAAAGCTTCCCAGGAGATGTAGATATTTGATTCTATGCAACCTTGAAAATCATTCCGCAATTTTCTTGTAACACATGTTAATGAATGAGGAAGCTTTGTATGCAAACACAGTGACATGACTTGCCGAACACAATTACTTTTGTTTGCTTTATAAATGTTGGCATTGTTAATAACTCGTTTCTGTTTCAGTTACGGTAATCCCAGGTCTTAACACAGGGAAATAACAATAAATATTACGGTACTGCTGTAGACAAGCTTGTTAAAGAACCTTGTTGCATGAATGCTGAGTATTTATTTACTGTGGCTGGTAGAAATAATAGCCATTTCAATGGAAAACTTGGGCTCAAATGGTGATCTATCACATAAACTAAGATATGTTTTTTAACCCACCTGGCATGCATGTGATTAGGTGAAGACATTCTGTTCTGATGCCGTAGAAAAGTTTTTCTTTTGACTACAAAGACTTTTGCTGCTCGTCATCTCCAACCTCAAAGCTTCATGTTTCTGTGATCTGAGGATTTATAGAGATATTTCTCCCTAGCTTTGAGGAGTTTGTAAAAACTCAACTTATCTTTAGCATGTAAGGTGTTGTAATTTATTTATAAGAACAATTTAACAGTTTGTTTACAATTCTTATATTTTACTACTTACCATTAGTCATTAACTCCCTTGATAAAGAAACACTGTGATAAAAATTCATCTGTTTCCTATCACTATATCAGCTGGTCCAAGAAAAGATAAAGCAAAGTTTGACTCTCCTACCACTTTCTGGCTACCGAGTCAACAAAAGATACCACTTCTGGCTCCAAATGGTGTTTCTCCTTGACTGTATGTCTGGCTTACAGAGCTTTCCTGAAAAATACCTGTAGTTCTCTTACGGCATGGAAAAGGAGATTTTAACAGATATTGAAGCTTGTTTTTTGTGTATGTTTCATTTAAATTAACAGTGTGCTTTAACTGGGATCACATTGTAGATGTCAAACTTCTAGCCAGCTTACTTTGAACAAGATTTGGCTGATTCTTTTCTTTTGGGATCTCTTTCTGTATTTCTGTCTCTCTACATATACATGCATACACACACAGGGTAATTAAAATCTGATTAAGGATCCCACTTTTCTTTGTAACTATTTACAGCTTTATTATCTAATTGTGGCATGCGCTGAAGTGTCATTAATATTTGAGGCAAAAAAGAAAAAAAAGAAAAATCCCCTTTGAGTCCCCTAGTATTATCACTGACTTCTTGCCCTCCTTAGCACTAGACTAAGCTATTTCCTGAGTGTGGCAGTAACAGAACCACAAAAAATCCCCAGGACAAAAGTGAAGCCAAGCGCCTGCTCCACCTATATGATTAACCCTGCCCCTGAGCTAAGAGTAAGTATCAGTTTAAAAGAGCAGGATATTTGTAATGAAATACAAGTCCACTATGTTTTCTGAGAGCTAAAGCATCGCCTCTACCTACACTTTTTCTCCAATATGACACAGTTTCACCAGGACCATGTAAGGAGCGGCATAAAAAGGTTGAGACATGAAATCAAGCCCAAAGGCTAGGCACTCCTAACCTGTGTTCTTGGGAGTGCCACACTTCACTCAAGTTCTCCCTAGATCCCTTCAACACTTTGCCCAGTATCTGATCCCAGCCCCTGCCTGTGGGAACTCCAAGCCCATTATCTGATTTTGGCAGCATGTGTTTTCCCGCTACGATCCAGATGACTTGTGCAAATGGAATTGCCTTCCTTTTTGAAGGGTAACGTCATTCATGGAGCTGATACTGCCCCGAGCAGAGACCTTCCATGCTTAACCATGTTAAAAGCATGCTGCTGTAACAAAGAAAGCAAAAGTTATGCAATAATCCAGTTGCTGAAAGACAGCTGAAAAGGGAAGCAAATACTTCCCTTGCTTGTGCTTTAAGGCAGGGTATAGGATGTGTTCTCCATGCTACAGGATGGAAGACACTATTTCTTCTTTTCAATGACTCATTGCATTGTGTAATGAAAACACAAGTCAAAAGGGATTTTTTTTGGATCTTGACTGGCATCATTTAGAGTCTTTTTATGTAGCAAGAGACACCCAAACACAAGGGACATGGTAGAGGGGATTCAGGCATATTCTGGTGACCAAGACCATCGTGAGGGGTGGGAGAGAGGTAGGCTCTAGTACTGTTGCTGATTTGAGTTGCCAAGTCCCAGGTGAATGCTTTAACCTCTGCATTCATGAAGTTACTGTCTCCAATAAAACTAGGAATCTGTCTTTTCTAGACAAATTCAAAACTCTCACTTGAAAAGTTGTAAATGCCAGACCGCAAAGGCACAGGAGCCAAAGGTTTCCCTGGAATTGAGCTCAGCCAACGCAAGGTGACCTCTACCAACTACTGTTTCCTGTGTGCCTTCTTTACCAGCCTACTCCCTTTTTCCTCCCAAGAGAAAAAATCCCAGACTCTTCTGAAGTCACCTCCTTTTTCCTGCCAATGGCTTAGCATTTGCTTGTCATTCCACTTCAACTGTGGAGCACGGAAGGGACTAATACTGGGGGTTGGGAAATAATCATTTCTGCTGCTGAAAAACTGGGCACATTGTGCAAACTCTTGTGGAAGTTAACGGTGAGGCAACATGTCAGGAACAGATATGCAGAGAGCTGACTGTCTGCTGAGCATCTGTTTTTTCACTTGTTGTGTGAGGAAGTGATGGCAAGGAAAGAATAAGAGCTTAGGTCAACTGTGGTTTTTGTTTTTTTGTTGTTAGCTTTTTTTCCACTTAGGTGTCTAAGTATAGATGGTTATGTACCCAGATCACCACAAGCATTGGACTTTCCTAAATCCCTCTGAAATCATAAAATAGCAGGACAGCTTTTTAATTGATTTGCCTTTTAATTTGTACATTTAGAAATACAATAGTACAAGTATATATTTAAGTGTCTGTTACAGCTCTGCTTGCAAACAGTCAATTCTTTATTGTAGTTGTCATTTAAAAGATTGTTGTGGGCTAAATGCAATATTTCATTTGATCCAATTCAATATGAAGTCACTGACTACCAAATATCTAGTAATACTAGTAAGTGATACATTGGTGTCATAATATTAACGCACAATATTAACCAATCTTCATATTAAAATATATATTTGATCTACTTGATATTAACAGAAGAGATTATAAGTCCTACTAGAGAATTCGCAGGGAGAAGCAGCTAAAGTTTTAACTGCTAGATGAAGGCTACATTTATTCCTTTAGTTGCATTTCCCTTTCGTGACTGTGGCAGGAAGCATTTTCTTCCTGTCCAGCAGACTGTGGAAGTAAGATATGGAAGCAATGGGAAGAAACATATGAGATGTTTGAGGAAGTCGTCCTGGGAATTTCTGATTAAATTAGAAGTGGTTAGTAGGCCATTTACATCGTGCATTCACCTCTGGTTCTTCAAAGGTCACTTGCTGTTAATTTACTGGCTGCTTAAGCTACAGCCAGTGTAGCTTTGCAGATGTCAGCATGAATGTTTCCTGGCAGTGTGGTCGGAGCAGCCCACTTTAGCCTGAGCCTTGCCAAACAGCTTGCAGACAGGTCGGAGTGCTGAGCTTCGTCACGCTCTAGCCGCACAGCCCTTTGTCCTCCATCTCGCTGCATCTGTCAGCATCTTCCGATCTATAAGTGGAAACTAGAGCACAATAAATATCACTTCAGAAATAACAGGTAATTTAGTATAATTAATTTTAGCTTCTTCCTTCCAAAAGCCATTAGTTCATAGTCATTAGGCTACCCTGAGGCTGACAGCAGCTTAGAAGTGCTCATGAGACATCACGAAGCATCTCATAGAACATAGTTTGGTTGCTAGTTTTCTGGCAGCAGCAGCGAATCCATGCCTATCCATTCCTTGCCAGGAGTGCTGCAACACCCAGTCAAATATTGTTCAGATAAGTCACTTCTAAAGACACTTCATTTCATTAGTCAGTCACATTTTAATCAGTCTTCCTCCTTTCAGTGAATGGCATCTCTCAGACACCCAAATCTCCTCTTAAAAAGATCATTTTAAAGATACGCTGCCAAGAAACTGTTTTCTGTACACACAGAAAGTGAAATCAGCTTTGGCCCGTGTACTACACATTACAAAGCTGTTTTAAGGCTCTCTGCCTCTTTCTCAAGGATGTTTTTTTGATGGAGAAATAGGTATGGATTCACTTCTGTCACATTCACCCAGGGGTAGCTCACTTTTTAAAGGAAAAAAAAAAATCACCTTGCTTGCTTCTTCAGTAGCAGGCATTCAGTCATCTTGGTTGCACTGCTTTAAACCTTTCCCATCTTCTTGAAGATGGGAGACCAGAGGTGCAGCATGAGGGTAAATTTACACAGTGGCAACACACATTTCAGTAGTTACTCCTTTATTCATACTGTAGTAGCTCCTAACATTATATTTGTGTTGGTTGATGCTTTTTTTTTTTAAATTATTATTATTATTATTTACTTTGGTTCTTAGGTTCTATTCACTGCTGAGCCCTGACCTGCCATTCCAATCACGCAGCTTCATATAATCCCGTGATCTCCCTCATATGCTAATATCCAGCCAAGAACACCTCATTTTTATAGGAGCTTGGGAATTTTCCCTTTTGGTGTAAACCATTTTTGCTACATCCTGCAGTTAACTTCATCTGGTAGTTTATTGCCTACTCTATGAGTCTCCTTATGTATTTCAGTAGCTCTTCATAGTTGATCTTGGTCTTTCCTATCCTTCAATTAGTAGCATGAGAATACCACAGCTCATGGAGAATTATCTTCCCAGACCACTTGTGGCTACGCAAACCCAAACAGAACCCCATACAAGCTGGTGTAGGAGTCTCCAAGCCATGTCCCTTCATCACAAAAAAATGATCTTCCAAATTTTGTCTTTCATTTCTGTGTAACCATCTGTTAACTACCCCATCCAAGACTTCTTAGCCCTGATGTCTTATCTCTAATGCTTGTTGAGGGCTGTGAAACCCTTTTAGGAAGACAGTTGGGCTAGACCTAGGGGAAATTCCAAATCTGTAAGCTACTTGTCATCGTCTAAGATCTCAAAGAAATGCATGAAAGACAATTTCCTTCAACAAAACCTTGTAGACTTGTCCTTAGTATGTTTATTCATGTTTTATTTATATGTTTACCCATTTTATCCTTTATACTTCTACTTTCAGTAGGGCCATGTAAAGCTAACTCATTTCCTCTTGATCATTCTCGTCCCTACAACACTGAAAAACTTGTTAAGCTTGAATTGCTCTATCTATTGCAGATGCAGTTTTAGAAACACAGCAAATGAAATAAGTGGAATTAGCAACAGTCTCAGAAAAAACATAGTAACAGAAAAGGAATTCTGTTGTGACATTCTGTGATTCTTCTGAAAAACTCATTCATTTCATTTTGCATCCTTAAAAAATTTCATGATATCTTTTTTTGACTTCTTTTATACTTATGAGCCCATATTGTCCCTGTAATTAGAGGAAGTATGAAGTGAAGTGAATGATTCATTTAAAATAAAATAAATCACCAGCTACAAAGAAAGCAACAGGTAAGAATTCATGCTCATTTTTACAAGTAAATAATGAGCAATTTTTACTGCAAAAAACAATTGAAATATGTGCAAATTGTGTTTACACAAGTACTGCTCCAATAGAATCTACTCCCATGTGTATGTCCAAGCTGAGTGAAATAGGGACCTGCCTGTCCCCAATTATACCTGGAAGAGGTAGTTAACTTAAAAATGCCACCTGTAGATCTATATTCCCAAAAGAGGAAATTAATCTTTGATTTTTATAAGTGTCAAAACACTAGAATTGAGGCATCTTTTAACAGACATTTAGGTGCATCATGAAGACAGCCTATTGGCTGGCTTAATGCACAGGGACTATATCAGAGCTACAGGAAGCTATTTTAATCCCATCACTGATCCTCACTCATTTAAAATTGTTGATTTTGAGACAATTGTTGGAAAGAATTAACAGTGCCTGAAGAGGATGAGTATGTTTCATTCCAAGAGATTTAAGTCTGCTTTTTTAAAGTAGCTTTTAACCGAAGTTGTTCTAGTAAAGAAAACAACTTTGTTGGCTCAAATTTTGAGCCTTTGTGGTGAGCCAGACCCAGGGAGCAGTGGCTTCCAGACATGCTCATCATCACCTTTCAGCATTGCTCTGCCAAGAAAGGAACAATGCAGTTCAGGCAACGGGGATCTCCCGGCTCTCCCAAAATGATTAAATTTATCTTGGCTATTTGGCAATGAACTGTCTGGAGGACTTGGTACAAACTTCTGTTTGTTAAAGTTCTTGGATATTTTCCAACTAGTAGTCGGAGAACAATGGAAAAAGAGTTTTCCTATACTTTTTCTATACTAAAGTCTTTTTCTTTTTTTTTTTTTAATAATAAATTATGTCTGTATAGAAGCTTATGATGCAGGTTTTGTTTGTTTGTTTTTTTTAAAGCATTAGCTAGATATTTTTTTTTTTAATTGGGTTTCTCATCTCTATCTGGTCATACTTTAACATCTTTCAGGAACTTCTTCACCTTGGCAAAGTGTTCATCTGTCCATTTTAATGAAATGAAATTTCACTTCAGTTATCAATTACTGGTGAGGAGGACACACAATACTGCAGAGAGGGTACAATCACTCATAGACTGTTTTCTGGTGAAATTGTAATGAAAACCATATAACCTGAAAGTCCCCTTCTGCTCGTGTGTATGCATTGATTCAATTAATGCAAATAGTTTTTGATGTCAATTTATAGGAAGCTCATCATGTCTTTGACTTGGTACTCACGTGGATTTTTCAATTTAAATTCCATGCAAAACAAAGTACTCAGTAAGCAATTTTCAGAATAATGAACAAGATGGGCCATTTCCAACTTTTGCCACATGCAGACCAGATTAGTGGAAGTACTTCAAATTCCCGTCAACAGGATCAAGACTTTGTCTTTTATTCTTCATCATCAGAACTGTTAATCATGCCATGAACGTGTTATGGTGATCTAATTTTCTCCTCTGATATTGGTCTTCATTAGAATATTAGCATAAAGAAACTCTGACAGTGTTTTCTGACGTGGCTTATACCACTGTTTGGAAATTAGTTCATTACTTTCCATTGAAAACCTTTTACGTTATACTTACCATCTAGGAGGCTTTGCAGGGGATGTAAAATTCCACTCCAAGTAAGTAAGTAGGGTGCGAAACACTAAGTCACTTCCTCCTGTAGAAAGCAGGGTGCTGTGGTGCAAAGCTACTTATATGATTTCCACCTTTTTGCAGTGAGGTCCTCTTCAGCTTAGTTTCACATGCTGAATTGCCTTGAGAGGGATGAAATTGGAATGAGTGCTCATGCACGAGCACTGGAAGCCATTTTCCTCTGTTTTTGCCAGGGCCTTACCTGTAAATATGTAAGTAAATAAAAACTATATCTACTTAAATGAACCATCTCATTCGTTGATCTTATGAAGCAAACAGTACTGTTTCCCCATCAGCCCAGTTCATGTTATTTATAGGCATGCTGATTTGCTAAGGACTTGCAGATAACAATTTACCTGTGTCTACACAACAGCAGCAGTGCCACTTCAGAGCTGTTGGGAGGCAGATTCATTTAACGCTGATCATGCACCTCTCTAAAACTTATGTTTTCATAGGTGCAGAACCTGGCCAGGAGCAAATGCACTAAGTTACAGCACTTGAACAAACTAGATGAACATCATTAAGTATGCCCACATATTCTTTACTACTTTCTGCCATGATGATCTACCCATTGTTTGTTCTCTGCTCCAGAATGCATGAATCTTAGGTCAAGGAAACACCTTCATTATCCTCCCAACCAAGAATAAAAACACATATAGGAGAAAGTTGTGCAGAAAAGACATGCATGGGCATGTTTAGAAAAAAGATCCTGTCTTAATCACACATAGCTTAAAATCTAGGGTTTGACATACTGAAAACATGACATACAAATAGCTAGTTTCCTGGCAGAGGCACATTCTACCCCAGCATCTATGCAGATACAAATGATAGTTTTTGCTGCTGAAAGAATATTTATTATTTATTATCCATTACTACTCACAAGTTTTCTTCTCAAAAAGTTTTCTTCTTTTCTTGCTGCTCTTCTATTTCCTGTCTGACGCGCAGAAAAGACCCCACAATCATAGGGTTGTAAAGCAGATATACTTTATTGCGGTGTACCGGGCGCACTGGGAATAGCTTCCCTCAAAAAGTGCACACCTGCCCGGTCATCTCTCACAACTTTATACATGAATACTGTTACATATTACGTGAGCTCTAATACATATTCAATATTTTCCCGAAAAGGCAGACCTCTTCCAAGTACTCATTTCCATACTCCCTGCCCTTAGCTCCTCCCAGTTGCGCCTACGCAGTGTAGCCTGGTGGTCATGGGCAGGGGTCTTTCAGAATGAAGGCAATGAGGAAGAGGAGGTTAAACTTTTTACCTTTCTGGGCTTTGACCTGCTGTTGGACAGTATTTAGAAGTTTTTTTGTTTATCTTTGCCTTGTTTCCTGCCAACAAGTTGTTCATCCTTCCCTAATGAGTTATTCGTCCTTCCCTCATCCGTTGGCCTTGAGCGATATCTTCTTTTTTACATCTGCTTCTCATAAGGTTCTCATCTACCTCCCTATAATTACGATATTTTTAGGTTCTCATCCACATCCCTGATAATTAGGGTATTTTACCATATATATAGCTAAATATTAATTCGGATAAGTTTTAGCATCTTCCCCATCTCAGTCAGGCTTTTTGGAAAGGTATGCTCCCACCAGCCTAAGTGGTTAACATGTGCTGTGGGTTCTGTACATGCATATTTCCTAATACCCAAAAGCATCATGAAATAAATCCAGATTTCTGTGCCAGTAGCACTTCAGAATTTGATAACTTACTTCTGCTGCTGTGCATTAATTATTTTTGTTACATTTTGATTATTATCTACCTCATTCTGTTTGAACTTCATAAAATAATAGTTTTAATTAGCAAGATTGTGCTTGCATTTTCATATCCCTGCCCCGCCTCCCCAACCCAAAATAAAGTAGCTTCTGACCCTCTCTGCACCTAGGATTTCTGTAGAGCTGTCTGCATTGAGTTTAAATGCCTTGCACAAGAGCTTGCACCCAACATAGTTGAGGTTTCATCCCAAATGTTGTGAATTATCTCTTGATACAGCTCTAATATTGTTATTTAGCCAGTGTGTTACAAAGGCAAGACATAACTAGTTCCTATCGTTATGTGAAAGGTTTTCAGCTGGGCTAAAGAGGTTTAGACACTTCGTTCTGGACTGAAAAGCTTCTCTGTGCATTGAGCAGGAAAAGATGAGCAGCTTAAAATGACTGAAGAATTATCACCTAAGGCACTTAAGCTCTTACAAATATGTCATTTGTTCTGAGTATGAAAGAGATTTATCTGACACTAAGAGCTGTAATAACACCTGATTCAAATAAGCACTTAGCAAATCACCTGTTTTTCTAACACCACATAGCTAGTATAATAATATGTGTTTAAAGGAGGAAAAACACATCAGAAGTGAAATCTCTTGCGTATTGACTGTGTATTGTTTGCTCACTGGGATACTGATATGCTTTTTTTGGGGGGGGGAGGGAGGTAGGGAGGGCAAGGAGGAAATGGCGGTCTAGAGGAAAATAACCAGATAAAAACTGATCTGATAAAATATATCGTCTATTTGAAGTAAATTTTTCATTATTATTATTTTTTTTAATTAATAAACAACTTGGGTTTTGGAAAAGAAGGCACGGACTACGTGAAAGACCTAATACTGTGTGGGGAGCAGGTTATAGTTTTTCCTGGACATACATGATGCCTAGCTTTTGCTCACTGAGGAGCAGAACAACACTTGGGATATATTAGCTCAGACTGTTAACTAGTTCACATGAACCTAGCTCAGGTATGTCAACATGTGCTACTCTGATTGTAGTGGGGAGATATCAGATTGCTTAGCCTGCTCTATTTATGAAGTGTGCTTGTAAATATCCCCAGCTATTTATAACGTAGTGATGAGGAGAGAATCAGTTCAGCTAGACCTGATGGTCAAACGAATACCACGCTGTCAAAGTATACTCTGCATTCTGGAGTTGGTATGTAAAGCTGTTTGGTTTCTGGAGTCCCACATCACAACAGCAAAATGTAGACCAGTTAACTAACTCTGGTTTTGATGACTCCATGGGAGTAAAGAACAGGCTGGAAGAAGGATTGTTCCCAGACCAGGTCTGATGATCGGCATGGCCATCTGGAGGGAGCACCAGTCACTTGCTTTATCACTCAACTTCTTACCAAGGTCAATGTGATCAGTTTAAAATAACTTTAAAAATATATTGCATCTTGACAATGTAACCTTTTACTTACCTCCTGTGGTTATTTTTTCTTCTCCCTTTATGTAGTGGTCAGTTATAGAAATTGTGATCGGCCAGAGAAAAGGCATTCTTGATAGAATTATTCTCTAAACTCCTAGACTAGAACGATGACTTAAGACAGGGAACAGCACTGGACACCTGCTCCTTAGAGTTCAGGAAAAAAAAGGGACACCAGGGCAGAATATACAACAGCCAGGGCTCATCTCACACCACTGGAGCAAGATGAGCAGAATCCACCCAAAGATGACATCCAAACTCAATGAGGAATTAAGCTCACCAGCCATGTTCCTGGTTATGAGACAGGTCCAAGATCAGGTCCACAAGTCAATCCACAGGTCAGGAACAGGATGTGCTCGAGAGGCTGCCATAGAAGTCCATGGTGGCAATGCAGACACGAGACCAAGCCAAGAGGCCTCAAATCATCATCTGGATCAGTAGGGTCCATGGTTAGAACCAAACACAACAATAACTCAGATGAAGAGCAACACTTGTGCAATACAACTAGGAGAAAAGGCAAATAACCCATGCTAAGCTTAAATGAGGCTCCTGGGGCTATGGGCAGGTGAATAGTTAGAGGCCCCATGTGAGGCTGATTGAGGCCACTAGGGTTTAACAGTGCCCGCTGGGCTCTTACAATTCCCAGTTCAAAGGTATCTCACTTGATCTGATGGTAGCTGATTACAGACACTGAGATAGCCTTGTACTGTAAAGTCATTTTAATTCACAGTCCTGATAACCAGTTTACCCTGATAACATGCTAACAAGATGTCTACGTGCCATCTGTATCTGAAGAAGACCTGAACTTTCAGATGTTTAGCAAAAGCCCAGCATATGTTTTAGGTGGACTCAGGCTATAGTAACCAGAGGAAAAACATAAGTGAAATTTAGTAGGATGGAAGGTGGCTGAGCATTATGCACACACTAGATTTTGTTATCAGTACAGTTCTGTGTCCTAACGGCATACTGGCTTGAAATTGACTCTGCATATTGTTATGTTCCTAAGAAAGGTACCTTGTGATCACTCGCTGAACAGAAATGCAATATTTTATCATTTCTAGTCAGCCTCTGACTCAGTTTTCAACTATGGATAAAGAAGAGATATGGTTAAGCTTCTTTGTAGATAGCCTGCCCAGGCTCCCAGGTGTAAGCCATTGCTGACATTTTGGACAGAAGCACTGATGAGAAGAGACGTTCCTTGGCCATGACTCAGCTCAGTTGCTGGTAACTTCACTGGAATTTGACTGATGATAGAGCTTGTGCGCTTACTGTAAATATTTGTGGAGCAGTAATATGGGTGCCAAACCTTTAGGATACATGCATGCTATTATGGGTGTGCATATAACGTCTTTCTTCTGCACTGCTGCCACTTTTTGGCTAGTATTTCAGACATGCTTGCCTCCAAATTGGAGATCTGAAGGAAAACAGCTTTTAAAGATCCTTCAGAAGCCAGGAGTCTTACTGTTGTAAGATGAGTCTGAACAAAACCTGGTCCCACGAGAAATTTTCTCCTCTTTACATCCTGAGGATGAAGTCTAGCAATCTCTGTAGTGCACGGGGACAGGAGCAGAGATAGGGATGGAGGCACAGTGTGGTTGGGATTGTTGCACAAGAGCTTGCTCAAGCAGCAACAGAAATTCCCTTTTTATCTCCTTGCACCATGAGCAAACATACACTGTTTGTGCAGAACATGGAGTGGCTCCTTGTTGGAAATGACACGAGAAAAATCAAAATCAAAACATTTGCTCAACTTTCCCACTTTCTCAAGTGCTCACTGCTGGTATTCCAGCCATTTCTGTCTAAATCACTGTGTCACAGAAAGACGTGGCTGCCCAACTGGAGCACATTCCTCAGGATTGCTCCTGATGTAGTCCTCCCTCCTCACTGGAATTTGGGAGGGTGCTCACAGACTTCCTTAAACTTTATCAGGTATCCCTGATAACTGTAGGTTAATGAGAAACCTTGTTTTGTGCCAGATCTGCAGCTGACATGCTGTTTGAGCACCACCACTGCTGTGACCCTGGAATTTCTTTGACTCATCACTGTTTGTTCTTTAGTTTCTGTCTGTGGTTTTTAGCACCCAGGCCTCTGAAAACACAAAGAGGAAGAAAGTCGATGGCTTTAATATTTCTTCCTACTGGAAATCATCTGCGCTCACTGGAAGCAAACATTTGCTGTTTTAATCAGCTGTCGCCACAACTCAACTCCCACTCGCTCTTGTAAGACCCCTTTAAGTGATACACAGTGAAAGTAGACGCATCCTCTTTTTCAGTTCTGTATTTAAATAAGGAAATTAATAATACACCATATTGAAATAAAAACATTTCAACAAGCATTTATTAGGTACATAAACTTCCGTATTTCCGTAAAAAATAAATAATGAAAGCATGAAGACCAACTACATTCTCATGCCAAAATATAAATTAAATAATTACTTATAGAAACAATGTTAAAAGTCTAACATAATTCAAATAAATAAATAAAGTGCTTTTTTTCTAACTGAAAGGTGTCTTTAAAATAGATGCTTATAGCTTCACAGCACTAATTCACAATAAATAATACCTTGAAAATGATGGCACAAAAAATGGTGCCTCAGAATTACAGCTTTTTTAATTTGAAGCCCTTGTCCCCGCCTCCCCCCCCCCCCCCCCCCTTTCAGGTCAGCAGCCCACTGCAAGTGGCAGTGACCTAGGCACAGTTGTTGCTCCCTGTCAGTGCATTCCTGGAGAAAATGAGCTGTTGAGCTGTTGGTAAGCTCCTAAAGGATTAGCGAAAAGGGAAAATGTCCTTTAGAGAAGGCTCTGATGAGAGTCAACTGCACTGATCCAGCTGTGGCTAGCAAGAATGACTCCAGAATCACCTCCATCACTTTTCACAAGCCGTTTTTTCTGTCTGCTTTTTCTGGTTTCAGTGGTTTCTCTCCTGTCTGAGACCTCTTTAAAAGACTTAGAGTACTGTTGTCAACTAACTACGCAATCAGGGAATCCCTACTCTCTAGATGCTGATAAAAATGTGAACGTATGAGGCAGGAGGAAATGAGCTGCCAGAAGCTGGGCGGTGACATCTCCTATTTTTGCCTTCCTGGAGGAGGTAAGACAGTTTTGTTCTTTGCTTTAGGACAAGTTGTCAGGCCTGGTGTTTGCCCTAGAAAGAAATAAAATGGAAAAGGAGAAAATTAAATGTAGTCCATGGAACGAGTATCATAGAATCACACAATGATAGAATGGTTTGGGTTGGAAGGGACCTTAAGGACCATCTAATTCCAACCCCCCTGCCATGGGCAGGGACACCGTCCATCAGACCGCGTACCCCTTGCTGGAATCAGATGAAGTCAGCCACTAAGGGTTTGTGCTTCTGTGTCTAAGTCCCTTAAAAGCTGTTAAATAGGATGCAAAGGGACACTGGTCTGTAGGCACCTTTTCACAAGTATTCAGTAACTCCATGGGCTTCCATATTTTGATGCTCCACTTAATACCTTTTGGGAATGATTTTCGCCCACTTATCTAAATACCTAATTTTTCATTAGTTCTGAAAATGTATTGGTGCTTTGTACTACTGCAAGCAAAAGAAAACCAGTCAGTTAATGCCTGAATTTCTAGAGGACTGAGCTCTTGAGCTTTGTTTTTTAATATGCTTGTGCCTTACAAGAGACGTAGCTAATATCTGCGTGGGTGGCATGTCACCACAAGAAACTGAACCTAACATCATACTTAAACCACAAAGCGATCACAATATTTGTCCCAGTTAGTGAACTGAAATAGTAGCAACTGGCTGAGGAGATAGAGTTTTTGAACTATTTATGCAGTGAATGTTTGCTGGCTTATTTAAAATACTGCTTTTCAATTAACTGTGCTCATTGAGAACAAATGACTCACTTGTCCAAAATTGCCTTGATAATCAGCTTCACCCAGGGAGCAGTGGGGTCCAGGCACACTTCTCTGCCGTCTTTCAGAGTAGCTCTGCAAACAGAGAAAAAAGGAAGGGGAAAGGTCTATTTAGTGAATTCCAAGGCAATTTCTCTTTCCTCTTGTAACATCAGAGTTTTCTAGATATACACTGACACAATCTTCTTTAAACCATATCATTTGAGGCTGCAATCTAATCTATAGATTAATCTAACCTAACTGGTTCTTATCATCTCACATCTCCTTATTTGAATGCATCAAATTATTTCATGGACTCACTGTTTTCAAAGTTGCTTCTTTTTTCACATTGCCCCATTTGTATTTATGATGTTGTTTAACTGAGGAGCTGAATCTTTCCATCTTGGTTTAGAAACTGAACTGGATAGTCCATAGGAATTTTGTCACAGAAATTTCTGGAATTGTGACTGCATTACATGACTTCTGTGCTAATGGTGTTTTTTTTCATTGACTTCAGTAGAGGTACAATCACATTTTTGCCCTAGCCATTAAAATTTATATTTTGATAATTTGCTCAATACAGCTCAATGGCTTTAATTCTCTTTTCTTATGCTGGTGAAATTCTGAGGTTTAGAAATTTATTTGTTTTTTTGATGGCTGCAGGTTTAAGTTAAAATACTGCAAGGAGTGTTTATGAAGCAGAGATTTGCAGAACTAAGATGCAACAGATGACACATGGTAGAACATTCGTAGGAGCATCACGCATTGCTCTCTTGGATTCTGAGTAGCCACGCCTGCTGGCTTGTTACATCTTTCAGAGAACCCTTACATCACCCTTAATGTAAAATCTGTTTCCTTCTTGTTAAGTAACAGGGAGGATTTTGCATAAACACTTACATGACTTCAACATTCTTGCAGTGAGGCCCGCTGGGGGTGAGGTTCACGTTCTGGATAAATTTGGGGTGGATGAACTTGGAGTGGGTCTCTATGCACTGGCACCGGAGTTCAATCCCTGAACGGGCCAGGGCCATACCTGTAAGACAAGAAGGAAAAAAGAGGTATTGTATGGACTGTTTCACTATTTTTGCAGGAAACACAACATATTCTTTTTGCTTAGAGTATTAGAAATAATTATTCTCTTTAGGAGCCTGAGGACTTGAAAAATTTGCTTTCACCTGTTCTTTTAAGCTGCTTAAGCCTTTAGCTATCCAAAAACTGCTGTTACAGCAACCAGTGGTATAAGGAAATGGAAAATAATAATGACTGAGCCCTGGCAGTTCTAACACTGGGCTTTTATTTGGCTTATCTCTGCACCTGGCCACATCATATTATACGTGGAATTACACCTTGTATCTGAGAATATGATCTAGCTCCACAGAGTTATTCGCTGCATTTTTAAGACGCGAAATACCTCCCTTACCAGCATTCACACTAGCAATTACTTATGAGAATGTTGGGAAGGATTTCTTTACCTTCGGTTCCGATCACTGAGATCAGGAGAAGAGCCATGCCAGCAGCCACAACCTTGCCCATCATGATGAGAGAGTTTCTTCCTGGTGTCACCGGCGTCTGGTCGTGCAGTGAGGTGAGGAGAGCTCCTAAAGCCCTGAGGGTGGCCAATGTCTGTACTCTGGTACCTGCCCTGGTTATATACTGCCCTGGCCCCCCCGCATCCTCCAGTGTCATGCATGGGTCATACCCATGGAAACTCCTGAACCTGTAAGATTCCGTTGTAGAATGAGTCACGGTGGCACGGGTAAACCCCCTTCCCTCGATGACCACAAATTGCTTTTCATCAACAGAAAACTCTTTGCTAATTAAAACAAGATAAAACATAGAATATGTACAAAATAGCCCTTTACTTAGCTTTCTGTAATCAGTATATTTTGTGTAATACTCATTTTCTTGTGATTGTTTTCTTCTGTACCTGCATACTTTTGCTGTTTTTATTGTGTTACTTGTTGTGACTTTCCCTTCTAGAGGAGGACATTTGATCTCTGACTTTGCACCTGTGTGTCTATAGGCTTTGTGTATGTATGTTTTAAATACTGTCATTATTAGAAGAAATTATGGAACCAGAAACTACTGTTTTTTAGAAATGCTGGGCACTAGAACTGGATTTTAATGAGCTCTCCTACTGATATGCAATTACATTTAAAAAAATATTTTCTGAGATTACTTATGGTACTTTTGAATACATTAATACCTAGCATCACTGAAATAAGCAACAAAATACAGAATGACTTTGGAGTGCTACTGAGAATGTTGAATTTTGAATTTAGGCAGAGGAAAATTCCAAAAGCTGCTGTGGGATTCTGGTTCTGGCATTAATTGAGGTATTTTTGTAAATTCAAATTTGGTTCTGCAAAGAAAAGAGTTCTCCTATTATGATAAAACTAAAGAAAAACTGGTAATGAGATTGAGGATCTCATATCAACTGGTAATGATAAGAGGATTATTCAGATAAAGTCAGATATGTACAACCATTTTTATTAACAATAGAAAATGACACTTAAATACAAGCATGAGATTTTTGTTGCTTAAAGGATCAAGGAATCTTTTTATTGTTTTTCTGTCAGTTAATAGGGACAATCCAAAGAACAAAACATAGGACCAAATATGAACGAATATGTTTCTTGTTCTCTGACTCATCATGAAGGACACAGATTTAAGTATACCAGGTGTAATTCCACTTAATATTACCATAAGTACCAGTGTCTGTAGTTGTAGAAAGCTATATAAATAGAGGATGGGTTCTGATTAATAGCCAAATAAAGTGTGTAGACATGGAATTAAGCACCTGTTTTTCCCGTAAACTTTTATCTTGCAGTGAACGTAGCTGGATCAGGTAATGTGAGCATCTAAGTACTTAATAACAGCCTTTCTTTGTGAAACCAGAAGTCTGCCTGATGAGTATCCTCTCTTCAAATGTGGCTATCAGCAGATGTCTGGGAACACATAAGAAAAGGTCAGGTGTGTTTGAGACTTATCCCTTTTACTGTCCCATGTTGTTTCTGGTTTTGTTTGATGCCACCTGCTACTTTTATGGAAAAACAGGTGTTTGGAATTAATCCTTATTGCTCATTTCCATCTTGTTCTTAATTCTATAGACCTCTATCACATCTCCTCCAGATGATTTCGATACAAATTGTCCTGTTGGGTTGCTCATTCCCATATCTGGACTTTTTCACCCCCCAACACACTATTTCCATGAGCAGCAAACAGTCTACAGAAATGTAAACTCAGGTATCAATGGAAATTCTTCTGGCCTACACACAGGGAGAACATGGAAGTAAAAATGACATTGGTGTGCAGACCTTGTCCAAAGAAACCCAAGAAACTATTCTTTGTCTTAATTTCATTAAAGTTTTTCATTAACTCAGAGATAAATTTATTGCTTCTGTACAGCGTGTGGAATGAAGGTGATATCCTTTGTGCTCTTTGTGTAAAGCTGACTGCCTGTTGCATTTTAAGGAAACAGCATTTCTGCTTTCTTGATTTAGATAGACAATTTGTGGCTATTGTACCTCATTACTAGTCAAACACAAGGAAAGGGCTTAGATGCCTTACATCTGATGCAATGACTACAGGGCAACAAGTTTGATATAAAGCAATAAGAGCAACTGAGAAGAGAGTTCTGGAGCCTGTGTTTTGATTTGCAATTTAAAAATCAAAGACAGAAAAGCAAGAAGTAGTGAGTGGAGACTCACCCTTCAAAAACCCACAACCAACAAATGTAAAATTTCTTTTGTGGTTACAGAGAGAAGTCAGAAAAGATGAACCATAAATGAAAACATCACATGTTTTATTGTAAACTTCCATGATTTGTGTGAAAGAGAGGAGTTGCTGTTTCAATTGCTTTACAACGTTCTATTCTGGGAGATGGGAGACAGGTAATGACATGAACTAAAAGCTACTGAATTTTTAAAGCATACAGTCTCTGACTAAAAATAATACTTTCTAAGCCTTAAATATGACTATCATAAACAACATATGGGAGCCTCCAGCTTCAGAACCGTTTTCATTATCATGAGTTTTATTACTTATTGGTGATAAGGTTTCTGAGAAATGATGGACTTGTCAGCAATATGACACCCCTGAATGCCGGCTAGAGGCTAATCTAACATCCTGCATCTGACTTTTGACATTGTTGTGTGGTACAGAAGTCCCTGCCCAAGTCACATAGCAAACTGGCACACGTTACAGTATTTTGAATCAATTTGTAGGTGCTACCACAAGCCTAGAATTAGCTAATTCTGCTAGTGGAGGCTTTCTCATCAGTTTTGCTATGACATGGCAAAAGGCAGGAAAGCACTTGACTGAAAAAAATGGAGTTTCTCAGATTTTTTTCTGTGTGCTTCTCCCCAGCTTACCCCAACTAGTGAGTGACCTGGAACTTTACATTTCCTTAAGCTCCTGTGAGCAGCGGGGGATTTTTTCCCCCTGGGGTTCCTGCAGCACTGCTTTGACCTCATCTCCCCCAGTGGTTCCTCACCAGTGTCTTTACATATCCTGCCTCTAGGTCTGAAATTTTAGATCCAAACATTTAAAATATCATTTAGAAACAGCTGAATAGCTGAGTCAGTGAATGTGATAACTTCTGTTCTTCCTTAAAAGAATATTAGGTTCAGCAAGAAAATGTAGCCCTGCTTGAGCTGTAGATTTCCTTCAGGGAAATTCTTCCCTGTGTTTTCTTGTATTTCTGTGAACCTGTATGCAAAACCTATGCATACTTTTGATCCGCAAAGGGAAAATGTCTCTTCTTCTTTGCATCTTTGTCTGGCAGTCCACATCTTTTGTGTCACCTGTAGTTTCTTTGGGCTGTAAGACAGTCTCTGCTGTGAACTTTACCTGGGGCAACTTGACTGACTTGAGAGGGCCAAAACATAGAATTTACTTATAGTTACCTATACCATAGGGATGTATTTTCCCCTTACCCATGTCTTAATTTGGTAGTGACAAAAATAAACAAACAACATGAAGAAGATCTTAAGTTTGCCAGCTGTCCCACTGAATGATTTTCATATGAAAAATGTGGACTAAAGGCAATCAAGAGATACATATTTAGTACCTATCTTCCTGATAAGCTTCAGCAGTGTCTGGATCAGCCCTCTGCCAAAATATTCTTTCTCTTTTGTTTAGGTAATATGCAATTCTGAAAGATTAACACATTTGGATGAGTGCTCCTTCTCAGAAAAGGCTTACTGAAATTTGTGTGGCTGTCTGTGCCCCTCTTCCTGAAGCTGCTTATGCTTGATATTTAAGACCATTAACACAAAGAGAAATCACATTCATTTGTTTCTAAAAGCACTGGGCACGGAGTGAAGTGCATTTCCTAAATCAGTCTTCATCTGGGCATGTGTCACAAAGGTCACTGTGCGAGTGATTTAACAAATGAGCATCAATGCATGAAGTTGCACTAAGCATTGAGAACAGGTACGAGAGCCTGAGCTCTGCTGTCCCACAGCACCACTTCCTCACCGCCCAGGAGGCGACCATCCCTGTTCCTGGATTTTCCGCACAGTCTGGTGATTCTTGCTGCAGAGAAGTACAGTTGCAACACCTATGTTGGTGAATGGTTTTTTCCACATATGCTGATGATGAAAGCTTTACTTTGATGGCACGAGAAGAGCTTTCGAGTTTTGTCTCAAGAGAACCTGGCACGTGGATCTCCTTGCAGTACAAGCAAGTGCTCTAGCAATAGATGCCTATCTAACGCATCTAAACCCATCACTGTCACTTCTTGCTCTGCAAATAAAAATCATCTTCTTCGCTCTGTCTCTTCCTCTCCTGCAGTTTCTGCTAGCTGGCTTAGTTCCGCTTTTTGCTCATCTTACTAGCTCTTCTGGATCCTAGTCCAATGCATTTTTTACTCCACCCTTGCAGCATGGCTTCAAAAATTCATTGGTGACAATGTCGAGCATTACTTCAGCAAAATCCCTGAGCCTCAGTCAGAGCTTTTATTGTTGATTCAGAACTTTATTCACAGTTCTCAGTAGTCCAAAGGAATCCAAAATTGCAGTCCTTCCTTTCTGTGCTCTATGACCTATTCACAATACAATCAAAAGCCATTAAGTGTCAGTTTTGATGGAAAATATTTGTCTTTGTATATTCCTGGGGCTTCCCCGTGTATGTAGTAACTGCATAGGAAATGAAGTCATCTCCAGAAAGGGAAGTAGCATTAAAAAAAAAAAAGAAAAAGTAAAAAATAAAAAAAATGGATAGGATGCTGCCTGAAGAGTGATCAAGGTATTCATGCTACTCACAGCTATTTTTTCAAAACAAAAGTGATCGCCGTGCTTTAGTTGCATTACTAAAAAATAAACATTTCAGTAGCATTACTCAGGGGCTTTCCAAAATTTCAGTCAGTATCATCATATGTTGTCTTTCCTATTAAATAAATACCTTTTTCATTAAACATCTTAAGTAACTGAAAAGCAATCACAATACATGAACCAAAGTGTTTTTCAAACAAATATTTTAATGAGTGTGTCAAAGCCAAGACTTCCAGGCTAAGCAGAAACAGTAGTTAAGAGTAAAGAAAGAGATCACAAAATATGTGTACCACTTGCTCTTGTTCTCACACAAATTCACTCACTTCCTGGCCTCCCTTTTGAAAGTTTCTATCACCTGTGCTATTGGCAAAACTAGGTATCTGCTTTCTAGGCAGCCCAGATCTACCTGAGGGAGGAGAATGAAATGATGGTAGTTTTCCTGAAGTTATTTTCAAGCCTACTGCCAGTTAAAATTGCAAAGCAAAGCAGAATCGACAACCTCATCCTAACTGGGTATTGCAATTCTAACCATCTGCCTACAGGTGTAAATCAGGAATAAGAGAAAATCAACGGAGTCACACTTCTGCATCAGATCAGACTACAAAAAGAACAAGGTCCTGAGCTCAGATGCAGTGGGATGATGTGAAGCATGACAGCTACCAGGAGACAGAAGAAGGGTGCGTTGGCCTCACATTCCTGTGTGAATCACCATGGCATTTTTTCTTTCCAAAGTTTCAGCTGCATGGAGGAAAAATCAGTTCGAACAAGAGAGACAGAACTTACGTATATTCTTCCTGCCTGCACCAGAGCGAGGGGTGAAGACAGAGGAATGTGGAGAGGAAGGGAACTGCAGTCTGCATTTTATCCATGAGGGCCCATCCCCACTGCATGGGAAGCCAGCTGGCTCCTCGTGGGACTGATCTTCATTAAGCAGACTGTATGTATACATCATGTGAAACCAAGACAGAGTTTTTAGCTCCTTAAACTATTCACCTTTAGCACTGGAGCTGAGGGAAAATGCTTCTGACCAGGAGCCAAACTGGAGGCTAAATTGGAACAAACGCATCCTAAGAAAACTGCTCCTGGTGCAGCCCTGCTGGTAGGACACTGCAGAAACCTTAGCTGACTCCAGGCAGGTAACTTCTGAGGAATCGATTCTGCTGGTTTATTTACAGGTTCTGCTTAAATATTTGCCTTACTGGGTGCGTGACATCCGTTTAGGCAGATTAACAATTTGTATTTGTTCTGCTCTATGGTATGTTGATTTTCAATATTTGCTGTGGAAGAGTCTGGTTCCCCCTATTAATATTTAAAAATAAGGATTTGCACTTCAGTTGCACTTGGGTATTCCAATGGCTTCTGCAGTTATTATAGACACTGGGCAGGAGTCAGGAAAGTCAGCAGAGATGGGAACAGACCCTGACTGCTGTCTCTTCCCCCTAGCCCTGCTCTTCCAGAAAAAAGAGCAAAGGCATTTGCTTTTTTAGATTACTAAGACAGTGCTGGAAGGTTATGTTTTTCAGGGGAACCAAACTCATTTTTCTTGCCACTGGCTTTATTCCTTCTTTTCTTCATTGTATGTCATAATTTTATTCTTATATCAAATTGATTATTCTGACTTCTTGGCAACTCCTGCTGTAGAGAGATTCTTCTAACTCCCACGGATCCTGTAACACTGATCAAAAGTCAACACTTTTACTGCCTATTGCCTCAATATCAACAATGGGTGAGTAACAGTAGAGTATTCCTAATGGCAGACCAAAGATGTGAAACAAGACAGAAACAATACATTAATCAGCAGGTTGAACGAATGCTTTAGTTAGGACCTGTTTTACCTTCTCCCACTGCTCACAGACATGTAATAGCATACCAGAACTCCTGTGAAGGCAGTAGTTTGTGAATCTGCACCTTGATTTTTGCACACGTAGCTCCCTAGTTTTTTAAAAGCCCAGTGATACGAAGACAGAATTTGTGGGTTTTAAGCCCTGTAGTTTGCCTGCTTTTGGAAAAGTAACTCTGTTTGCATGTAAAACATCTCAGATTTTGTGGAGCTGACATTAAAAAGACCGTTGTTCAGCAGTATAAATATATGTCTAACCACCCTGGATTAGTTATGCTCTGAATCATGTCTCCTCACATCCTATGATTCTTGTGCATTTCCAATTCACCCTGGTGCTATGGGGAAAGTGATGAAGCTATTCTTTAACTCTTCAAAATAAAGTGACAATTGAAAGTAGTCATTTTGTAATCTGATTGAAACACCTCCAACACAGATCACTTTTAACCTGAGGCAGATCCTACCTCTGTATGACTGGTAAAATATGACTGTGGGTCTGGTGTTTTCCAGACCACCATCAACCAAGATCTGACTTAGCCTGTATGGTCATGGTTACAATTGCCAGTGGTTTTATGCATTTTTCATTTACTAAATTGCATCCTGAGCTTCTGAAAGCCCACCTCTCCCACTGCCAGTCTCCCTCTGCCATCTCTTTCATACTGTTCTTCAGTGTTTGTTCTTCTGGGCTTAGATGTGCAGCTGTGCACAGGAATCCACAGAGCAACAGTGCTTCACCGCTGAAGTAGCAGTCAAGTGCCAAGAACTTCCTTGTGATATGCAGAAATCAGGGCATTCTCTGGGTAGGAAAAGACCTCAAGCCAACCTTTAGCTGCAACAGTATAAGCAAACAGCCCTTCCCAAAGGACGGCTACAGCTGTTCTTGCTGACAGAATCCAGCTTCCAGCCATGGCTGTTAATGAACAAGTTCTTTGAATAAGTCTTCTTTGCTTATTTGTTCTAGGGAAAATATTTGTCACTGAAATTCAATGCAAGATGTAAAATTCTCTCTTATGTATCATCATTTCTCTTACTTCCATCCCAGACCTAATTTAGTGTCATATAAATTAACGTAACTAGAACACAAGAATCTACCCACTTGCCATTTAGCTTAAACTGTGTGTTGACACAGACCATTAGTGCTGTGTGCCAGACCTGAACCAGGAAAAATGTCTGAATCTTAAATGTGGATCAAGGACATAAATATGCAGCCAAGGGTATGATTTGGTCAGCACTTTCCTGAAGGTCTGCTAATACCTGTTCATTAAGTCCTACCTGTTGTGATATCCAGTCCCAGTACAGTTAACGACAAGACGATTACGAGTGCAAGGCATGCACTAGAAGTAGTCACTGCTGAAGGTTTTACCACCCACACAAAACCCTACGCTTTCCCCATTCTTCTGAAGTGCAATAATCGCTGGAGAGTCTGGATCCTGTTAAGAGTCACTGTAAGTTTGATTCCAGCATCTCATTTATCATTTCATTTCCCAAGCAGTATGCATGACTGCACACTGGCTGACAGTCTTTATAAGGTTCATCCTGCTAATCACATGTATTCTTCAGAAAGCAGTTCCCTGGATTCTGCAAAATCTCCATGATTTCTGCAATTTTGGCAGACAAAACCTCCTTGGGTAGAATGATGATCTCAGGCAGTTTCTCACAGACTGTCAGAGCGTAAATGACAAATGCGGGAGATCTTAGGGCCCCATCTTCCTGGCTAGCCTTCACGTTTGCATCTACTTTTTGGCTTTGGTGAGGTTTTAAAAGTTCTCTCTCAGATACACGAGAACAATCTCATGTATTCTGTTTTTACTGTTCTGGTCAAGGCATTTGGCTGAGATCTGTTACACTGAAACCACTATAAATTTGCCAGTTTTTAAGGATTTCAGGCACTTTGAGACAAATTTTTCTCCTTCACGCTTTGGCTTAGTGCATCCTTTCATAAAATCTTTCTGATGATCCAAAAGTAGCTCTGACTTTGCCATTACCCAGGAGGTCTGGCAGAGCTAACCTTCTGGACTTCAAGGTATAGAAATTGAAAGGAATAAAAACAACCTGATTATTTTGATGTGGTAACAGAGGGATATTGTCATTTCCCAGACCTGCAAGGAACACCATTACAAACGATCCAGTCAAGTTTTGCCAGAACCTGACTCCATGACTCAGTTTCACCTGTAACAAGGGGTGATTCATTGCTGCTGGCAAAGCAGTTAAGTGACAACAGTTACTTCTGCAACGTATGACATTGGAAGCTGGAACTTTATGTGTGAAATCTTATGTTACAAGATCGGGATGTTACAGCACATCAGCATGGCTGCTCTAACACTCCTGCTACTTACTGCACGCAGGTGTTATTGGTACTTGTGGGTTGACCACAAGTTTGGTATTGACCTCAGGTGGTGAGTGTTTGAAAAGTGGCAACACCCTTTATGAGCACTGAAGGCCTAGCAAATTAATACAGATGACATAAAAAAAAAAAATAAATAAATCAGGTTGTAGCATCTCAAAGAATGATGACCTCATATTGTATTCAACACCCTTTGGCTGTCCAGCTGAAATAATCTCATACTTATTACCATGGTGTTAATTTGGAACCAGCTTTGGAGAAAGCTTTAATTTACACTTCTGGAGCTGCAAATGTCCCATAACCACACTGCACCTCTCAGCTCTATTGCTGCAGTTTCAAACGCTTTTCTCCATGAAATGAGAATCACTTTGGCAACTATCACAGATGATAAAACTGTCCAGTTCAATGCACCAGGAGCAGCAATGGGGGCTCAAATGCTTTGTCTCATTTCCTACAGTTAGTGCTTACAGGTAAAATTCTCTGTAATTAATGGTTTGCAAGCATTTCTTCTGCTCTTTAGTAAGGGAGATGTAACAACTTAGTTGTATTTTTGACCAGGAAAGGTTACTGAACTACAATTTCCTTCCAGCTAATGTTGCAAAATGAGCAGGATGTGCATTTGTTGACTTGAACGTCACTTTTCATGGAAATTTTTGAAGAACACTATAGAAGTGTGTGAAAGGGGATAGCAACAGATTACACTTCCACTCATAGCCCTCGTTATTAAATTAATTAATAAGGCTTAAACTTCAAGGAATAGAACTGGAAAGAAGAAAAAAAATGACTTCAGGAGTATGTTTGTGCAGCCTCATCCAAATGTTTAGGCTTTTATGCCCAGTTTAAGATAGGGCTCAATTTATCATCATAAGCACAGCGTACTGAAAGGTCCACTCAAAATGAAAAAGCTGATATTTTTTTTGCCCTGGCATAAATACTTCAGCCATGATAGATAAGAAGAAGTCCAAAGCTTTGTGCCACGGTAGTTCTTATTTTTCAAATCAGTGCTTTGGGACACTGCTCAGTGTTTTTCTTCCTAAAGAACTTCTGAAATAAAAATTGTGTCATCCCTTAAAATCAACATCGTGCATTCTGAAAGGAACGCTTGTTGTCCCATATCAGCCAGTATGTGTCCTACTCTTTTCACAATCCACTCTGAAAGGAAATGCCAAACATTATTGCAGTCATTCACCAAAAGAAATTCCGGATGAAAAGCATTTATCTGTTGCAGAAAGAATAAGAGTAAGTAAGGTTTTCATATTGATTTTTGAGTATGTGTCTGAGAATGTGATTTGATGCCAGTACAAAGCATGAGCAGGGTGGCACAAGTTAAGACAACTAATGCATCTCTTGCCTTCTGAAAACAATCAAAATTATACTTTATCGTTCAAGCAGAACATTAAGGCAAGTCATATCATACCATGATGAGTTCCTCCCACTCCTTTATTATCCTCTCCTTATTTCTTCTCTGAATCAAAGGTATTTCCCAATAATCCACACCTACAATACTGTTTTATTATGTTTTGGACAGATTAATCCAGAAAGGAACAGTATTTCTCATTAGCATGCAGTCAAATTAGGGTTTCTGTGAAGGACTTCTGGAACTTATTTTGAGATCTGGAAATAATAAGGGTTGAGATTTCCGAGGTGCTCATTATTATAGAGAGGTTTGTGTTTTGTTTTGCTTTTTTTTTCTCTCCCTGCTGTAGTGCAGTGCTGATCATTTTATCTTTAGGGTGATTCCTATTTTTTGATGGAGTCCCATTTTATCTTGTGGCTCGATGACAGCGGAAGTGAAATAACCAAGAAGGCAGTCCAAGAACTGTGCTGCAGCAGCGTGAACAAGAGATCAGGGCTGAGGAAGGCATAGGAATATCATCTTTTGGCATCCCCAAAGTTGTATGCCTCAAACTACATCTTAAGTGGCAGTAACGTGGCCTAGAAAATTACTTACTGTAATCCATGGTATGAGACATCAGGCATGCTGCACAGGCGGGCAGATAGCATCTGAAGGATTAGCAACAATTGCTCTAAAGCCTCAAAGAACTGAGGTGCCATCAAGTAAGTGGTAAGACAGCAGAATTATAAGACATCATGACGTTTTTATTGCAGCAGGAAAGCTACATTTATTGAGCCGTATATATTAACATGTAGATCACCTCATTTCTTGGCAAGTTCAGTCATGTTAACTTTTCCTGCTAGCAGCCATGGGCATGAATTAAGCAAGTGTTGGGCATCTCTACAACTATGCTCGATCCCTTCACTCTGACAGAAACCAACGAGGACATCAGGCACGCAGCACTGCTCAGGAAGCAGTCAGATCACACTGTTATTACTTCTCCTTTACAAAGACTATCACAACTATCACATTACAGCCGGAGCACTGGGCCGCATGTGGCTGCTGTAGGAGAAAAAGAAAACAAGCAGGCTGGAGGCAGAAGAGCAGTTGCGTAAGGCAAGCAACAGGTGCCTCACATCCTTCAGATCGTGAATATGTCTCCCAGTGATGTTTATCTGCAAAAGGCAGAGCAGCAAAATTGCATTTTGGCAGTTTTGCTGGGTCCTGTCCTCAGGCAGACGTGCCAGCCATGGCTTGTTTCAAAGTGAATCATTCCTTGTGGGGACATCCACCGGCCATTGTCATGTCATTTTACTTCGAGAGAGGAACTTTGTAATGTCTTCCAGCAAGACAATAAAGCCATACCACATCCTGTTGCAATCTTTGTGTTACACGGTGTCATCCTGGCCATCCTGTGTAGGAAGTCACTTCTGCACTAATGACACGCAAACAAGGACGCCATCATTTTGAAACAGCAGTGGTGGTCCCTCCTCAAGGACAGCAGGGCAGCTTCCTGCCTAGGAGTTGTAATCAGTATTTTAACATTTCTGCTCGTTGAGAGTGCTTTTCTTCTGAAAACACAGCATTGTGCCACATTTCTACCTAAGGTCCCGGTGTAGTTCATTAGCAAGTTCAGAATAATTTTCTGTCCCTGTAAGAGGTTGCATTAGATTCTCTCTTTCAGCATAAACCCACAGGTCAGGAACAGTAGAGAGGGGACATGTGCATGGTTTCTGACAGCACTTGTGCTCTTACCAGATGCCATCTGATAGCGTTTAGTGCAGGGCTTACCACAGGTTGCAAAACTCCAGCACCTGACCACAAGCATCCCATTTTCCTAGCTCTTGAGGAGTATCAAGAACAGCATCCCCTTACCCACAGCAGGGCTTTTGCACACTGCCACAGCAAGGCTGAATAATGCTGGCAGTGACTCAGCATGCTCTGCACGCTGCCCGCTTGCAGCGCCACAGTTCTTCCAAGTCCACGGAGCCTTTCCACACCCTTCAGCACTCTTGCACAATCAGCTGCTAATGGCTATGGTCCTAAGCATCAACGATGAAGCCAGAACCACAACACCAAGACCAGAACCTGAAGCTCCCATTCCAGCATCGGTGTTTGACTGGAGAAATTGTCTGAAATTCCCTCCAAAGACCCAAAAGGGCTTTGTGAAAAGAGAACATGGGCATGTGTATTTTCTGTCTAGTTCATATCTAGTATGGGTTAACATTCTACAGGCAAGCTATATTTGATATTTGAAGTTATACACTTGAATCTGCATGTGGATACTTAGATAAATGACCTAGTTACAACATCTGCTCTGCGTTTATAATTGCTGCTGAGGTTGCTGGATATCTGTAACAGGGGTAATCAAGACAATTTAAGTACCTTGCTTAAGGAGTGCCCATGTAAGAACATGGGCCTATTAAAAATTATCAGGTTAAGGCAAGTCCCTCATGAAATAAAAATGTTAAGAGCCACCCAGGACAAAATGAGCACTTCAATTACATTTATTGCATTTACATGATGTGAAACATTGATTAAGTCAGAGGAAAGACAATCATGTGCTTGAAGCGCTAACCTGGAACTCAGGAGATTTCAGTCCACCTCTCGGCTTCACTGGAGAGTTTTGAGTCTCTGGGATTATCAGTCAGGGTAGGATCTGCAAAGACGCAACTGTCATCCTCTAAGGTGATTCCAGAGCAAATTAATTACATTTGAAGATTTAGGCTTTATTTCTTTGTGCCTGACTTCCCCACTGTAAGATTACCTAGCTGCATAGCTAGAAGCTGCCTGTCTCCCAGGACATGAATTACCGTGAGTTACCACAGTTCTTTTCCAGAGGTTCAGAAAAAGAAACACTCTAAGGCTTACAGCCTGAAGAAATGTTAGTTTAAAGGCCATAAGAATTCAACAATTAATGTTTTTATTTTAGGTAAAAGTGTGCACCTTTACAAAATGGGAAGAGGGGATTGCTGTAGGTTATGTGATTAAACGAATGATTAACAAAATTCTTAGACATAACAGGTACAGACTTCAGACAAGGCAAGTAAATCTAGGTTTTCTTTTTGCAGGCATAGGATTTGCGAGTTATCAAGATTTAAGACATGGATCTGGAAGATCTTTGAAAAAAAACACTCTCATTCTATCTGTTGTGCTTGAAAATAGGCAGCTTAACAGTATGAGCATAACTTTAACACTTCAGGCACTTGAACATTTTCAGATTGAAGCTGAATATGGGATTTAGTAATGCAAAAGCTTGCTTTCTTGCTTTCTACATTCTATCTACTTTACAACCCTCTAGGAAGGATTCCAGCAATACCTTTCACCCTCACTGCATTTCATAAACTAACACAAAAAATAGTATTTATGTTGGATTATGGTTTTGCTCCACACCTTAGAACAAGGAAATTTAGCTACAGCTGACACCCTGTTTTTCAATGCAAGCTGTTTTGTTTTCACAGTAATGGCAGTGATAAACACTAGTTGGAAGTTGAATTTCCTTCTAAAAACTGAATCAGGTCAAATGTAAGATTTTGATGACTTCTCTTTTGCATTACTTGACCTGATACTTAATTGGAGATTACAAGGGTCTTATTCATCCCACTGAAGTCACTGGGATGGTTTCCCTTCTGCAGTATTCACTTGTGAAATCTAAGATTTTTTCCCTTTGTCTCACATGCCTTAACAATATCATTTAAGTTAAAAATACAAGAAGGATTTTGGGCCAGTATGTGACTTGGTGCACATTTCAAACGCATAGTCATTAAAGGTATTTATGACTACCCTGTAGTCGTGCATAAGCCCTACCACCACTGCCATTTCTGCAGCATCAAATTCCTTTTAAATACACGCAACCCGGCGGTCCTTTTGAACTTTTTATTGTTCTCTCTCAGAGCGTGTAAGATAAGCAAACATAACAGGGGTACAGCTGTGAAAGGAGCATTATATTCCACTGTAATCTTTTACTTCAAAAAGCCTGAGATCATGCTTTACAAAAGTAGACCTCATTAAAGAGATGTTTTAGGATGGTATTGACTGAAGGAAATTATTAGTAACACTGGAGATAAACAGAATCCACTTGAGTGCTTCTTTATATAAACATGGATTGCAAAGTAAAGAGTCTTCCCGGTTATTATTTGAATACCATTATATAAATATCTTCCTTTTCCAGTTAATACCTAGCGTGAAACAGCAACCAGACGCTAGCATTAGGAATCAGGGCTCAAATGTAGTAAAGTGAATCAACAACACATTGATGTGAGGCCCCAAGAGCCAGCTGCTCCCCAGGGACCAGGGAGCCAAGTACAAGAACCCAGCTGGCAGGGCAGGAGCCTCACTGCCCAGAGCCCATCCCACCACAACTGAACGAGGTGAGCCAGGCAGGCCCATAGATCACAGCCAGGCTCAACCCAGAGTCAAGATCATGGCAGTAAAGCAAGTCCAAGGTCAAAGGGGAAAGCCAGTTCACAGTACAGGGGAGCAGAACAACACAGTCCTTGACCATACAGGTCCACAGATGACGCTGAACAAGACACCTACTTCCAACACAGTTCAGGAAAAAGCTAAAGCACCAAAGCCAGAGCTTAAATGAGCTTCAGGGCCCCTGGGCATGGGGGTGTGTATGGAGGAGGCTGCAGATGAGGCCAGTCAAGGCTATTAGGGCCAATTAAAATCACAGAATCATTAAGGTTGGAATAGACCTCTAAGATCACTGGCACTCTCAGAGCCCCCAAGAGCAGGCAATCCGTGGTGCAATGAGATCACTAATGCTAGAAAAGCTGTTTTGGCCTGCTAGTCATTTTTAGAGGGCTTTAATGAGGTTCTTGAAAGACTCAGCTGGAAATACTGAAGGGGCAAATCTTCTGCAGGAACAAAAAGCTGTAATAATCCACAGCATTTCTTCCTTCAGTTGTAGAGTAGGAAATTTCAAGTTTCAGCTTTAGAAGGGACCTCTGTGCTTTTCCTGAAGGCTTGCTTTCTTCCCCTATCTAATAAACAGAAATAAAATTCAAACTAAATCATTTCTGAAAGGGAAAAATACAGAGGCTTTTCTTCCAGTTCTGGCACACCAGTAAAGACTTTTCAGAATCTCTTTGCCTCCCATCTTCAAACAGCAGCCAAGCTGTAGATATATTGCTTTATTTGAATTGTATCCAGTACACACCTCTCAGTGTAAACAGTCCTTTACTCTGTGAGAACACCTGCTCAGTGCCAGATATTGAAGGGATTTTTAATCACAAGTGCTTTCTATGGGCTTGATCTTGTGTCCTTTGTCACCAGTGGCAAAACTTCCTAGCGCTGTTTCATGGTCCAGTTGTTGGCTGTGGATGCCTTTGGTTTTGCTGAAAGCTCAGAAGTGCCACTAGTCATGAGATGTTAGACTGAATTTATTCACATTGCCCAACTAGAGGTGTTACCTAGACGCAGCTTGTTAGCACTAATAACCATTGCTCACTTTTTTTTTCTAGGTCAGTGGCTTTTACTGTTGTAGCAGGAAAGAAAAAATGCTGAAGCACATGCCCCAAGACATGATGCAGAAAGAGATGAAACATTTCCCCCCACATTTGGTAAGGTATTTATTTTTCAGCAAGACACAGCAGTACATTAGCAGGACGTTTTGATAACACCAAAAGTGTCATCAATTAAATGAATGTGAAAAAGGTAAAATGCCTGAAATATGATCCCACTTCCCCTGAAGATTTTCAATTGTATGTTTAAAAGCTTTGTGACCTATTTTAAGGGTCTGCCCCAGTACAAGGACTAAATTGGTTTCTTTAGGATAGCTTTGAACCAACGTAGAGAATGATCTGATATTCATGTGATTTTCACAACATGACAAAGAGGTGCTCACGTTCTATTTTATGAGGAATATCATTTATGATACAATATTGAAAGCAATAAGCAGTGACAAGTTACTGCACGCATAGACAAACCACCCAGGAAATAGCAAGCTGTTGAGAGTTCCTCTTCCACACAGGTGCTCCATTGTATTATAAAGCCTGTTCTGGAGTTTGTGCTTGCTGTGGTTTTGCTGTGTCAGCTTCAGGCATATCCACCTGGTCCTGGAAGTTCGGATTATCCTCATGGGTCATAACCCGTAAGAAGCTTACGTTTACTAGAGAGACATGTCACACATCAGCCTCAGTGACAAGTGTATGATTGGGAGGATGTCACCACATCTAAGCCTCTAGCAGGTGATTCCATGCTGGCAAACCTCCCAAGGACTGCAGCACACCACTAGCTCAATCATTTTGTGCTCATAGATCCAGCAGGCAAGAGTTCAGTGCTATATACAGTACTGGGACCTATCTTGTTTAATATCTTTATTGATGACCTAGATGAGGGGATTGAGTGTATCTTCAATAAGTTTGCAGATGACACCAAGTTGGGAGGTAGTGTCAATCCGCCTGAGGGTAGGGTTGCCCTTCAGAGGGATCTGGATAGGCTGAACTGCTGGGCTGAAGTTTAACAAGGCCAAGTGCCAGGTCCTGCACTTTGGCCACAATAAGCCTACACAGTGCTATAGGCTTGGGGCAGAGTGGCTAGAGGACTGTGAAAAGGAAAGGAACCTGGGAATGTTGATCAATGTTTGGCTGAACATGATCCGGCAGTGTGCCCAGGTGGCCAAAAAGGCCATTTGCATCCTGGCTTGTATCAGGAATAGTGTAGCCAGCAGGAGCAGGGAGGTGATCGTCCCCATTTACTTGGCTCTGGTGAGGCCACACCTCAAGTCCTGTGTTCAGTTTTGGGCCCCTCGCTACAAGAAGGACATTGAGGTGCTTGAGCAAGTCCAGAGAAGGGCGACAAAGCTGGTGAGGGGTCTGGAGCACAAGTGTTATGTGGAGCAGCTGAGGGAGCTGGGATTATTTAGTCTGGAGAAGAGGAGGCTCAGGGGAGACCTTATTGTACTCTACAACTTCCTGAAGGGAGGTTGTGATGAGAAAGGGGTTGGCCTCTTCTCAGATAACTAATGATAGGACTCAAGGAAATGGCCACAAGTTGTGCCTACAGAAGTTTAGGTATCAGGAAAAACTTTTTCTCTCAAAGAGTGGTCAGGCACTGGAACAGCCTGCCCAGGGAGGTGGTGGAGTCACCATCCCTCGCTGTGTTCAAGAAGCACCTGGACAAGATGCTACAAGATATGATTTAGTAGCTTAGTGGGTACTATTGGTGATAGAACAGTTGGACTAGATGATCCTGTAGGTCCTCTCCAACCTTGTGCTTCTATACAACTGCAGCATCTGATGGGAAGATGTTTAGCCTCTTAGCAGTCTAGCCACTCATTCATCTGAAAGCTCAAAGAACGGATATTTACCTCTTCATAACAATGGCAGAAACAACTTTGTGCATTTCTGACAGAGAAGCCTACAATGAACATTTCTTCAGGCTTCAACATTTTTAATCCAGATTTGCTTTAGTAGTACTTGGCCTTGCTAGGAATATTTGGATTTGTCTTTGCAAATGCTTCATAGACTGTAGTATCATTTAGCTTTGTACATGACCATTTGTTTATTTATTTTTGCCACTGAACCATGGTGGAGCTTGTAAATGAAGGTGAACACCTCATGGCCTTACTATTATTTCTTGCCCATGATGATCTCCTGATGTCCTTGACTATGACCTCCTATCCGCGTCAGCTCCCCCAGCCTCAAACTCAACACAGGTAGGGTAGCGCTTTGGTAGGGAAGTGCTAAGTATGGGTCCTCAGGTGCAGCAGGCTGGCCATGCTGGGGAGAGCTTATGACCATCCAAGTCTGTCCCCTCCTGCCCTTTTCTCTGTCCCAGTCATCACAGTAAAATGCAGCACAAAGTGTAATTATAGCACTCCTTGAAGCAACCTCATTAGGAAATCAATTTTTTCCCCCACAGATATTTTAGCTAGGAGCACAAAACACCCTGCTCCCGGCAACCCACTCTAGAAGTTTTGCCTCCCACCGTTTCTTTGATTGAATAAATACAAGGTAAGCAATTCCTAGCCGTGTAGTAGTGAGTTTCTCCTTACACAGCAGGAGAAACGCGGTTAGCCCTTTCCGTGCTTCCTTCACCCTCCCTGTGGCACAGGCAGGCGCACAGTTCCACCTTGAGGCCAAGTCGGACACAGCAGCCTTTTGTCACCGACGTTCAGAGCTTGCCCTTAATGGTAAGGAGCAGACCAAGACCAAGCCCAAAATCCTAGTCTAGCCATGCACTTTTCTAGCACGTTGAGATCATTCCATCTGACCATTATTTGTGTGCAAGATTTTGCTATTGCCCCGGAAGCTGTGGCTGTTGTGACTGTAGTTGTTCCCCACCATTATCCCCAGCTGTCATCACATTACTGTTATTAGATCTGATCCTATATCCTCAAAAGGCCACTGATGGGAGACTTAATTGATACATGCTGTAAAGTACTTACAGCATGCAACTTAGCCTCTTGAACTGGAAGTTTTCGCTTTCCTTATGGACTTCAGGTCAATGAGCACATGCCCCCAGGTAGAGCTGTGGAACTTTGATAAATTTGCATTTTCATCTATCTTCTTTGCTTTAATGGAATATAAAATATGAAGATATTCCTTTATTTTATATACATTGTAGTAGTTTATTTCTATTCCTGTATTACATTAGCACACTTCTGAAATTTGTACTTCATAGAAATAAGCGTTTTTATTTTGAACAGTAACTTTTAAAATATTCATTATTGACCTACTGGCTAATTCTAACTCTTTTTATATAGTTATAAACTGAACATTTTTGTTCCTTTGATAAAAGAGACTACTGCATCCTGCCTTTTGTTTCTAATATTTTATTCTTCTACATCAGCCCTTTCTCCTCTCCTTTACTGAGGAATGTGGTGGACACTGTTTTCCTCTGGGAAAACGTCAGAAAAAGTACCCATATCACCTGGGTCCTCTGCCTGCCCACCCACCAATTCATGCTGACACCTGAGGAGGTCCCAGTCCACAGCTTTCCCTGACAAAAACTTTGTTAACCCTTTGTCCATGTTCTCTGTTTAGCCCCCAATTCACTGACTCATCTTTTTTTTTTTTTTTATTTTTTGCCTCATCCAGACAAATGATTTAAAGGTCTATAATTTCGCAGACTCACAGAAGACTTAGCTTTCAAAATGGGCTTCTAGCTGTCATTTTCAAGTCTGGTTAAACCAAGACAGGTTTAAGTGAGGGGTCTGGCATCTGGGTTTGTATCTACACATTTCATATACCAAACTTCCTATTTCTTTCATCTTTTCTGTATTTGATGTTTCTTTAAATTTTGAAAGCTACTTTTAGAAAGGTCTAATAGCCTCATTAACAGTTTAATTACACAGGCTTTTAAAAGATCTTCCCAACACAAACAACTTATTTTTCCCTGAACTACAAAGAGCCACTAGAGTATTCTCAGCAGTGCCTTTTACTCTGATACACAGATGCTGACAGGCCTGACATCCCCTCAACCAGCAAGAGAGCAATTTTATTCCAGCTTTGCCAAGTGAAATACAAGCTTCTGTCAAGAATAACTCAATCAGCCAAGCAGCATCCTCGGGGCCGCACCACCTGGTGGTGTTTTCACTCCACTGCATCTTTATTAACCAAGGGTTACAGGACAGGTGTTACTCAAAAGCTCATAGGTGTTTCCCTGTGTTATTTTGTTGACAGAAATTAGACAAGACGGTTAGTATTAGTACTTACATTGGAATGGCATTTCTGTTTCTTTAGAGACCAGCACGAAGGCTCAAATATATATCAGGAGCTTTCATCATCTGAAGAGTGAATAAAATGAAGAAATAAGAAACAAGCCCAATGTAGGAAAGTAGTTAGCATATCACATTATTTTTGTTAGTATATAGCACTTAGATTAATCTTTTGAATTCAATACCATTTTCTGAGTTAATATATCTAAAGAAGGCTTGCAATAAAATATCTTTCTCAAAAAGAACTTGAATGAAAGCAGAAAAAAATCAGAAAGCAGAAGGGTAAACAACTTAAGTAAGAACTGACAGAAATTTTGAATTTCACAAGAACCTCTGACAAGAGAGTCTTTTTTTCCCCATCTGGCTGCTACATTACACTTGTATTCATTTTACAAGAGAAACTTCAAGTTCAAACATTCTAAATCCAAATACATGTTTGCATGGATACTGTATTCAGACCAAGAAAATATATCCCTTCTGAACATGCTTTTACAGCAAATGATAAAAATTACTATTATACAGTAATGCAGAGCCCCATCAGCTTGTATAAGTGTTGCAAATATGTGCACAATGACCACAAATTTAAGCTCCATGGTACAAAGAATTTGAAGTTCCTTGATTTGAGTGTCTTAGCTCAGCCACATTTAACTACATTTGATGCTATGCTTGTATTTTGTGATAAGAAGGCAAAAAGCACAGGTAGAGTAAAGTCCTTTAAATGAATACACCACGGATGTTATGTCCAGCATTGCAGTCTCAGTCACCCTGGAAGATGGAGCAGAGCGAGAGCAATGACCCCTGCAAATCCCAGGTGCACATTTTGCTGTAGAAACCACAAGAGGCCAGTGCAAGCTCACCCTATGGGGCTGCAGGTTGCTTGCAGCACAAGCTCAGCTGACAGTAGCAGACACCCTGCCCCACTGCTTCCCTGACACTGATTTGGGCTCACTACACCTCTTGGTCACCTCAGCTGCAAAGCAAGTCCTCTTGTAACTTAGCATAACAAGCCATGCAGAGCCACAGATTGTAGCCATGTTAAACCACACATCCAGTTACCAGGCAAGGTTACAGTGATGATGCAGGTCTGAAAAATCCACACAGGTCAAAATCAGGTCATGCAGCAATTGCTCACTTAAGTCTATAACAACTTCAAAGGAATTTAGTTTACATATCACAATCAATAGAATCCACAGCTAAATACAAACATTACTATGACCAGGACAGAGACAAATCCTCCTATAACACAACTCAGTAAAAAGATCCTTCAATTAGATCTTAAATAGAGTCTTGGACCAATGGTCAGGGATCAGGGGTGGGGAGATCCCAGGTGAGGCAGATCAGGGTCATTAAGGCCAATTGTTGCTGTTAGACCCCTAATACTGAATGAGATCATACTTTTCATTTTGCAGTGTGGAGTTATGCATGTGTTTGCTGTGCAGAGTCCATCATGTTGGCAAAAGGTATATTCTGAACCAGGCAGGGCCTTGCCCATTGCTGTGGAGTGGACAAAGCAGAAGGATCCAGCCCCAGAAGAATGTCACCACTAATGAAATTTCAGGTAACAAAGGCAGCTGTCTGTGAACAGCAGAGCACTGTCCCTTTTCAAAGATACTGTTGTTATTTAAGTGCAAATTGATGATGTCCTATGCCAAGACAGAGACACCAGGCTGAACGTTCAGGTGACTATTGTAGAAAGGACCAGTGGTTTGTGAGTCCTCAATTTCAGAGTATTTTAGTAGATATTCTTTCATTTCTTACAAAGGTCTCTGAAATTCTGACATATATTGCTGTAAAGCAAAGGCGTAAAAACTTAGTGCCAGCTCCTATTGCACTGCCAGACTGACTGCAAGAGAAGCACACAGGGACCCAAGAGGATCTGTGCAGCTACAGGGTGCTCTGTAAGCATTTTGCTTCCCATTTACATGCCTCCAGTAATGCTGGACACTTGCCGCTCAGATGCGGTTTCCGTTTCTTCAATATCTTTTGCATAAAATTTCACGCCTGAAATTGCTTCCATTCCTGCACCTGTTTGAACCTGTGCTTTCTGCACAAAGCAGGGGGAGCATACCATGCAACTTACAGTCCTAAATACACTCCCGTTTCTCTATAGCTTTTTGATTTTTCTCTCTAGCTGATCAAGCTTTATCTAGTAGGGCGCTGCCTGTGTCCCCCAGCAGCCCATGGTTTCCTGAGGTGAGAACTGCCTCCTGCAAGCGTGGTACATTTTCCTGGTGTGGAGTGCACAGCGAAAGCTGGGACAGCACGGTCCCAGAGTCTGAATTTGCATTTCCAGTGGGCAGCTTGTTCAGATTTTTCACTTGCAAGGACATGTGTACGGGCTGGAAGCAAGGGATTGCCCTCAGGGCTGAGTGACAGTTCCAGATGGATCAAATTCCAGACTGGAAGACACACCCTCTGAACAACTGTGTAGGGAAGAATCTTTCCAGAATTTCAGCTTTTCCTGAATGGCTATTGATTTGTTTATGTTACTTTACACAGGAGCATAGTTCATAGTGCAAATTGGACAGTAATTTTACATGCTGCTGTGTTCCATCTGCCTCCATTGTCACCTGGCTTTATTGTTCCAAAGCACCTCTCAACCAGAAAGATATTCACATGTCCTCAACAATGAGATCAAATTTTAGCCTTGTTAATTCCTGTGAAACCCTAGCATGGGTTGTAAACATGTTAGCCGTGCACTGAGATCTAGCACTTCAGAGTTAGAAACACTATTGTGTCATCCAACACCACCGAAATGCCACCGCCTCTGCTGTAGAGCTGGAACGTAACTGCCTGCCATAGCACACAGCGCTCACTGTGCTCCAGGACCCTACTTAGAAGAGTTTGAGCCCTGGATAGCTGAACGAGAAGAAAAATGTGATCCGTAAGGTCAAACACTTGGAAGAATATGAAATGACACAGTAAGTATGTAAATGTATTTATTTTTTGCAAAGGATGCTAAATAATACCAAATGGTTATTTGGTATTGTAATCAAAAAGCAGAATTGTGCAAGGACAGAAGGGATTTCCAACAAGCAGTTACGGTGTCTATGATGTGATCTTCTGCAAGAAGAGGGAGTAAAGGTGAGGAATGTCTTAGTGTCAGAGGGAAGATTTTCTTAAAGGGAATTGAGGAGTCACAGAGGTCTCTTCAGGCCACCAGACATGAGGCAGAACTTCACGGAATCAGCCCCATCTGTTTTGCTTTGCACTCTGCCCTTCTCAGTGCTCTCTGTGCTCATGCGAGATTTTAAAGAGTAAAATAATAAATAAAGGTGACAGATGCTTATAGTTCATCTGCTTTACTGTCTGTTTAGATATCCAATGCAGTACAAAAGGTAAAAAGTTGGTTCTTTCTCCAGTTTTTATGGTGTACTTCAGGGATTATGAAATCAATAGTCAGTATGAAAATGAAAGTTTTTAAGTCTTACATTTCACATGATAGCTTCCCAGCAGCTTGGTGTATCATTCAAGTTGCTTGTGCTTAGTGGCACACAATGAAGAACTGTGCAGAGACCCCAGGACGCAATGTGAAGAATGCCTGCACTGCACAGCAGCACTGAGCAAGGGAGCGTGGGCTGCTCAGACTCAGAGGCGGGCTGTGATTGCTGTGCATTCCCTCCATGTGAGAGAGCTACTTGCCATGCTCTTCCTTTTCAGCCTGGACTCTTCCATTGCACAAGGTGTTATTATGTACATGTATATTAGGCTATCTGAAACTCGTTTCAGTGCGCTTTGCTGCAACAGCAAACTCTGATCTCATCTGTACAGAAGCTGTGGTGTGTAATGGCTCTTTAAGAAAATCTGACTTGCTTCTAGAACAGGTGCTTGAACAAACGACTTATAAGATGTTCTTCGTACTTTTTATCAGGGTACCTGACCTGAGAAGACAGTGGGGTAGCTGATCTCTTTCTAGGTGACTTGTGGTTCAACCTCCTAGATCTCCTAATGACATTGTGTCTACTAGAAGGTTATTTTCCTTCAGTATTGATGAAGTTTCATCATTTTATGCCGTCAGGAAATTTGGTTGAGTAAATTACAGTCATGTAAATGGAGGAGATAACAAATACCTTTATATCACGTTTTTTAATAAAATTAATTTATAATCTCAGTTTCCCCATCTTGTTTTCTCCTCACCAGATAACTAGTAATAGGACAAGAGGAATGGCCTCAGGTTGCACCTGGGGAGATTTAGATTAGATATCAGGAAAAAATTTTTCTCTCAAAGAGTGGTCAGGCACAGGAATGGCCTGCCCAGGGAGGTGACGGAGTCACCGTCCCTCATGGTGTTCAACAAGTGCCTGGACAAGGTGATACAAAATATGATTTAGTAGCTTAGTGGGTAGTATTGGTGATATGAGAATGGTTGGACTAGATGATCCTGTAGGTCCTTTCCAACCCCGTTTCTATGATTCTGTGATTTTCTTGAAGTTTGTATGTTCTTACAATGCTGGGTAGCAAGGATGTCAGTCTTCGTTCATGTTGCTTCCACTTGGTGTCCCTATGCAGAATGCCTGCAGAAAATATATTTTCTGTTGACAAGTATGTCTAGAAATCTGGACTCCTTTTTTTAACCACTAAAATGTTTACATAAATGATGACAAGGTGTTTACATGAATGCTCTCTCACCCATATCCAGCCTAGTATTAAACTAATTAAACATTTGGAGGTTTTTTGATTCATAAGTATAGTTCAGCTTCAATCACTATGAAGTAGCAATATTTATCTTATTTTAGTAGTATGCTGCACTATACCTTGGTAGTACAGTGTATAATGGTGACACTTGTGAAATGCAGTTTACTTTCAAATATATCTTGCATTTTACAGAGAAAAAAAAAAAATGCTTCTGAGCTCTTCTGTGAAATTTGCCAGAGACCTGCGTGTGCTCAGGATATTTTTAAAACGAGCAGAAAAGAGAGGACAGTCCACATTATGACTCGGCTTCTTTAACAAAGAAGTAACTGAAGAAAACTTATTAGCATATTGGAAATGGGAGTCAGGTGCTATAGTCAGATGACCCTCAAATGATCATTACAGAGGAGTGACCAGAGCATAAAGGCATTGTATAAGGGGCATGTGAGGAAGGGTTGGTATTGTTTTAAGGGCTGGGGAGTATGTAAGGACAGAACTAAGGGGGTGGAAGGCAGACAAGTGATGGTCTTATTTTGAAGGCAGAAGATGTTCATAAATAGAAAGATAGTTAAGAATAAATCAGAGAAAGCAGTGTTCTATAGAAAACTCTGTAGTTGACTTTGGCTTAGATCAGGAAATCTCAAGAGTAAAGAATTGAGTTTAGAAGCACTGTGAGAGTGGGCTGGGGTTTTTTCTCCCAGTGGGCTGTAATGTAGTGAGAAGCTATGTGACTGCTGCTCTTTTGTGTGGCAGCCCTTAACAATATTGTTTAGCTCCAGGCAATGAGAACATGTGTATGGCTTTATGGGACTGTGTTATCGAATGGATGACTTCATAGGATGTAGGATCAAGTTATGATGCATGACTAAAGACGGCTTAGTCTCTGAAGTTGGACCTGCCCTGGCTCATGAGGGCAAAGGCAGGTAGCTTTTTACTTACCCAAGGATTAGTGCCCCAAACATTCCTGCTTTCTTATCTGGGTAGAAAGCTGTCGCTGTTGGTACATGTACTACCACAAACAGCAGGTCTGCTCTTCCTTCTCTGTGCTATTTTTGAAATCAAGAACTTCTGGCCCCCAAAAGTCATGTAATGGTATGCAGAAGGGATTATGGCCCACAGGAGATAGCCTTGTAGTGGATGTGTGTGTTGCGTATTTAGTGATTTGAGCTAATCATCTGTTTCCTAGTTTCTGCTCTGGGCCATGCTTATCAGCTGTGCCAGTGAGACATGTCCTGGCACAGGAATATTGCTGTTGGCGGTAGGGTGTGATGACAGAAGATAATATTGTTAAAGAACAGGAGGCCCTTTGCAGGGCAAACCCACTTGTTCTGAATTCCTTGGTTTATTGCTATTATCAGTGCAATCCTCATGGTAATTTCTGTAATGTGAAGCAAAGCATTTTTTTGAACTGATACCTGTTGATTCATGTGAAACTCTGATCTTGTCATTGGAAGCTGCGTCTTTGCCTTGTAGTGTCTTGCTCAAGAGGTCCAAGGAGTATTTTCCCCAAATGGGATCAATGCTGGTCTGAAGCTGTCCAGGAACAGCTGTTAGCAAATGATACAGGTGATTTTCTTTTTCATTGTGAAGCAGAGAAATCTCTTGTGATCTCATGCATATCCTATTGCATTTTCAGAACACTGCCACTGAAGTCCAGCATACCTGCATGATCTTGTCATGGCCAGCTTGTTCACTCTGATTGCATCCTGTAAAAGCAGGAGAATAAACTTTTATTTTTTTTAATTTTTATTTTTCACCACTGTTGGAGATGCTTTTCTAGTTTGAGCAGTCGGACAGTTAATGATCTGAGGCCAGGTTATAAGACAGCTGGAACTCCAGCCTCCAATTATTTACTAACTTAAAATTATTTACATTAATCATGCAAGGAACCAGAAAAGTAACACAGCAGTAAGGACTCAAGGATCACTATATTACCTGCCTGTTTGGAAGAAAAATTATGATTATCCTTTGATGATTACCCTTTGATTTAAGGGCTGAAATAATATTACCAAGTTATGACATTTTTAGTTATCCAAGGCACATGAACTGCAGTTACTAAGAAAGACGAGCAACAATGCTTGCTCTGCATGTGGTGACTTATTTCTCCTGAGAGGAATAGGAACTTTCTCTCCTTCTTGTAACTGACTGTAAACTACCCATTGCTTTGTGGTCCTAAAGACATCTTTTTTCTATGTAACACTTATTCCCAGTCTGCACTGATGAGTCTCCATGAAGTAGCTAGCACTTAATTGCATGTAAAGAGATCAGAACTGGGACATGGGTACAAGTAACTAAGTGTGAGAATAAAAACTAGACACAAGCCTGAGACATGTTCACCAAGCCAATCTGAAAATCAAACCATCTGGTTTAAGTGGAAGTGAGGACTATAGCCTGTTATTACAATATTTTCGATTATGGCTCTAGTATATTACAGACACTTTTTTGCATGAACCTAAGTAATTACAACATAGGGATTTCAAAACTTACTTGTAAATGTTAACATATCTATAACAATTTCATAGAATGGCTTGGGTTGAAAAGGACCTTAAAGATCATCTAGTTCCCCCCCCCCCCTTCTCATTTATATGAATCCTTTTTATTAAAAAGAAAACACTGTCGCCAAACACTTTAAATATTGGTTATCAGGATGAACACCAATGGGGTAACCTCACATTGCTCAGTTATGAGCTGCTGACCTGCCCCTCAGTTCTCAAAATACGTGGTTACCTCTTGGCACTGGCCAGCTTCATGATGTCAGTGTCCAGCAGGGTGGCCTAGCTGTCAGCTGCAGATCGATTTGACTTCATCTTGTTTTAGGAATCTGAAAGGAGGCTGTGCTGTCTTTCTGCTCTAATCTGGGACTGTCAGGGAGAGTGCTCAGGTGGCTGAAGCTGTTGACAGGAAAAAAAAAAATCACACTTCTGGATTTAAACAAGTTGAAGTTGTAGAGGTTTGTGCTCAATCATTGAGGAAAAGCTGGAGCAGCTCCAGAAGTGGAGCTTGATGCAAAGTGCCAAGCTCACTGCAACATGGAGCTGCTTTGCTCTTGTGAATTGAGCAAAAATCCCTTTATGTTCACCCCTTCATGTGTTTTGAGAAAATTCTTTGTATTATACAAACCAATAAAATCCTTATTTTAACATTTTTCTGGGTGTAGGGCTAGAAGGTCTACAGCATGGACTATAATCCCAAATATTGAGTCCATTTTGTTGCATGTACAGCTGTGAGTCTAGCCCTTGAGAGGAGTACACCAGAAGATAAGGATATGAGCAGAGATATCAAATATTAATGGGTCTGTTCTGCCCGTCTCTAATATGAGATGATACAAGCCAGAAGTAACTCAATGTTACTCATGGTATAGTAGGACTGGTATGAAGGCAAATTCAGGTTCAGTATTTGTCATGCTCTTCTTTCTGTGGTCCAGTGATATTCAGTTTTAGGCTTGATCCTTTGAATAAATTGCTTGCTAAAAATGGATGGGCAAACAGTGGGAATTTCAAAGGTCTGTGTTCTTTTATTTATTTTTTTAACAGCTCAAACATCTGTTTATATGATTAGTTGCTTAGCAATTAAGCTGAGTAGCGGTGCTTTCTCTCCTACAGACTCAACTCTTGCCCAGTGAATAACGTAAGGTATCTTAAGCAAGAAATTGAGTTTATAGCTGAGTGATTAAGTGATCAAGCTATGTTGACACAATTTTTGTCATAATGTTATAAACCCATGTACTTAGACATCACCTAATTGTATGCTTTTGTTACTCCACTAAACACTAGAGACTTAAGCATAGCCAGAGAAGGAACGACCACTTTATCCAATGGATTAGAAAACTGACATGACAAGAGTTTAAAGCATGACAGTGCTTTCAGCACAGGATGTTTCAGGGTGAACTCTGTCAGCAAATAATTACTCAGAGTCAGCAGGTTGCCTCTCATTATAAAGTTAGTGATTAAAGCGTTAACCGGAGCCTCCCCGTAGGTGTAACCGTGACTCAGGGAGCACTCCTGTCAGCAGCTGGGAGGAAGGAAAGCGGGTAGGTAAATGCTCCCGACATGCACCGAGGTGTGGGGAGTGTCCTGGGTTGCCAGCACTCTCAGTTTGTTGAGCAAAATAGTAATTACCAGCTCTGTGGGCTCCACAAGGTAGCAGAGGCGGCTGTCAGCTGGTGCCGTGCTGTCATGCCTCTCCCAGGGCTCAGTGCAAGGTACGTGAAACCCCTCTGCTTCTCCTCTGCTCATGTGTGCAGGTAAGCGAAACGCGAAGCTGGAGCTGTTCTGCTTGCTATGTAACCTGCAGCGTCAGTAGAAAGCAAGGTCCTTCTCAGTCATCCAGAACTCGAGTCAAATTCCTTTCAGGTAATTAGGGTGCCGGAGGGAAGGAGAAATGTGCAGTCACTCAGAAATTCTCATAAAAAGTTCTGAAATCTCAAGGCATGAGTCACTTGTGATAAAATAGGTGGATAATAGGCAGTGCTGCTGCTCGCTGCATACGTGGGCACGAGCCTTCGCCACCCGTCACTCAGTCGCCAGAGGGACTGTAAAGGTTACGGCAGTCACCTTGTCTGCTCTTTAAAGTGAGTAGAAGCTACCTTTCCTAAGGGACCTGGAATAGCAAGTAACTTTGTAGTAACGGGTGCTTCGGGTTTGAAATCCGTTTGGTGCAAGCCCTGCTGTGTAATCCTTGCTGGTGCAAAGGGAGGGAGCCTGTGTATATCTCCCCCTGAATGCTGAGGGGCCGCGTTCCCTGATAAACAACTGACTTTGGGTTTCTGTAATCCAAGCCAGTTCTGAGCGTGTCTGAGCAGAGGGGTTGCACTGTTTTGTGTGTTGGGGTAGCGCAGGGTTCTGTGCTGTAACAATACATTTTTTAATTGAAGTGTAAAAAAGTCTGGAAGATTAAAAAACTTGTCTTCAGTTGGGAAAAATGCAAGTGTTGGGAATAAGTTTCTTTTGGTTAGACATTTGCTTTGGGGTAAAGCCATGTAATTTCAGAAGAAAAAAAAAAAGGAAAAAAAAACTCCAAAGCATAAAGGCTTGTAGAGTTAGAGCTGTGGCTAGGTAAAGACCTTATTCTGCTGATACTGAATGTCTTATGCACGTGAATAAACCCTAAGCTCATATTTTATTTCTTTTTAAGATATAATGGTTCAAAAATATGCTAAGTAACAGGCACCACAGAGTGTAGAAGATGACTTGGGTATTTGTATGTGCCGTCATGCCTGCAGAGCAAAGCATGTGCCGTACAAAATGCTGTTTGTATGTTTGGCTGATAGCTAAGTAAATAGATAGCTGAGCCTTTTGGTTTCTATATGAGAAAGTGAGAGTGCTCACACCGTCCTGACATCCTGTACTCTTGGAATGCCTTTGGGAAGCACAGGGTCAAAAGACATAGAAATCTGCAGATGTTTTTGTGGGTTTACTTTTTTTTAAACAGTGGTAGGAGCGCTGTATAGCACACTGGTGGCTCTGCAGTCCCCATCTTAACATATAGATGTGCCAAAAAGCACATCCAGGCAGGAGCATCCAGCCTCTTCCATAGGCTGTAACACGCAAATCCAAATGCTGCTTTGCTGCTCCTCCTTGGCTTAACTCTGGGGGTCGGGTGGCCCTCTCCTACCAGCCCTCCTGCTGCAGCCACCTCCTTTTATCCTTGTGTAAAAACCTGCATGGATGCTTGCTCCTACCTTTGCTTTGTCACACAGCCACTGTCCTGTCCCTGTGCTGTCCCCTGAAGCAAAAGACTTTAGAATCACTGCATTTAATAACACAAAACAAGACCTATCATCTTCCCTTCCACTAACAGTTGGACTTTTTCTTGGGAAGAAACATTTCCAGTGAGACAAATCTTGTATGGGATTTTCCTTTAGTGTAGTTGTTAGATTTGTCGTGTACCCGATGTGGCTGTTGATCCTCTCACAGCTTTGGGATTGTGTAGTAGTCTGCTTTTCCTTATTTACCTGGATTTCTCTGATAGTGGCAGTCTTTGATGTCTGAATTTGCATCTGCCTCACCTCTCACTCCTGTTTTCCCTCTGTTTCTTTCATTTCCTTCCAGTTGTATTTTAGGTTTCAGTCTTCCTCCACGGCTGAAATTTCCCCTTAGTTAAGTCTTAGGCCGTGAAGTTGGCCCAGCTGGGGTCTGACACCAAGGCCTTGCCTATCTGAGGGGATCCTGTGGTTCCAGTCCAATTTAACGTAATGTGGAGACCTGTTTGATATGAAGCAAGTCAGGAGATACAGTTGGATAGATGGCCATGGTCTCACACTGTTGGAAGAGCTGGAAAGTTAGCACTTTTTTGATTATTTCATATTGAAGGGAACAATGGAAAAAAAATCCCCCTCATCTCTTCAGTTTGCTTCCTCAAATAGCTGCAGGGAAGTGACATGTACGAAAAAACAAACAAAAAAAACCACCAGGCAGTGACAGAAAATGTGACAGCCCTGTGGATTTAGGGAGGACAAGTGTAAATATGCTGTCAGCTGCGGTGCCATATAACTGTGCTGGGGAAGTCACTGCACACTCTCAAGCCACAGGTTTCCGCGGTAGTTACAAATCAGGGCCATAGGATGTTTTAATGACATTTATTTGCTTAAATGATGCTAATACCTTGCATAAAGCACCAAGTGAATAAACATAGCTCGCGGACTCATGCTGATCCCTTGGGGAACTCCTTCTCTGTGACAGGAGCGTGTCATGTGTAACTCAGAGGGCAATGCATGAATTCAGTCGGCTGCCAGGGAAGCCCCCTGGCTTTTTGGGCAGGGCTGTCCTTTCAATCCTGCTGCTGCCAAGGAGCCAGCTCCAGGGGTGAGCTCCTGGTTTGGAGGTCCCGTGTCATTCAACTTCTGAGCGCCAGCCGAAACACGCTGGTGGGAAAGGCACGTGGAGGGGAAGCATGTTAGCTCTAGGGTGTGCAGGTAGAAATGTGCTGGACCATCCTGATGAGCAGCAGTGCTCAGAAGAGTGAGGAAGGTGGAACAAATGTTTGCTGGGCTTCTGCACCAGCTATTGGGAAGAGGCCTGGTTTTGTCCAGGGCTATCAGCCAGTGAGGGAAGGGAAAGGGGGAGGCACTGGTGAGGGGCCATTGCCATCACCAAATCCACTTTGGTTTCAGTGCCAGTGCTTTGGTGGCAACCAGCAGACTTAAGGTATGCTCAAGGATTCCTAAGGCAAATTTAGTTAAGAACATGGCACTACTGAGCAGAATTCATAGTTCTGCAGTAATCTCCTTTTTGTGTAAGGATCACTCAGTCCATAAAGATAAGCTTTTTCCTTCATATGAATCATTTTATGGTCAAATTTCTACAGAGAAGTATTCAGTTCCGAGCAGTGGGGCTGGAGTCACGGCTCTGGCCACTAGCCACCCGGCTACCTGCTCTTCTTCGTGAGTTGTTTCCTGACTGATGGCAGGACGCTCAAGCCTGTATCCAGTTATTCAGGTGCCAATATACACAAACTCCTCTGCATCTTTTAAAACCATTTTGAAATGAGGTTGGCATGGGCAGTTGATTCAGCTAGAGGTATTAGTAAATCATGTAAAAGCAGATTTCAAGGTGTGGCCAGTGGTTACTGCACTCAGTTGAGAGGCCAAGAAACAACATTATTAGTCCGGGGTGCAGCAGTCTTTTCTGTATATACAAACTCATCTCTGGACAGAAGTCCTTGGGCCTGCTCAGTAGTCAGATGGATTTCACCTTTATGTGAAATCACCCAAAGTGCAGTGGGTTTATGGGGTCCGTCACACTGTTTTCAACGAGCCTTTGCTCAAGCATTGTTTGAACCCCCATCTGCTCATGTAAGGCTCGTTTCGGTAGTGCACTTGGGTTTTAGGGGTTGTGAAATGGCTTCTGACAGAAATCTTCTACATGTTTTGTAGGTGCGAGACAATGTATTTTTATGCAGATGATCTAATTTGTCCACATTTTTTTCATAAGTCATGCATCTTTGAACTTTGATATGTAACTTTAAAAAAGCAGCGCACTGGTGTAGAGTCATTTTTACATAAATTATTCCCTTTTTCAGCTAGCTGTGATCTTCTTAAGCTTTAATTTCCTTTCTAAATGGATTTCCTGGATGCTACTTGCCATTGGTACTGTTGACAATGAACGGATTTTCAGATGGCTTTTAGTGGGCTGCCCCATGCAGGCTGACACCAGCCTTAAGCCAGTCTCCTGGAATAAGCACGAATGGACATCAAATGCTGCTGGGCAAATTCCTCTGTCGCAGCACCCGAGTAAGAGAGAAATAAAAATGGAGTCACTGACTTGCAGTGCAGTCCTTGGGGATTCTACTGCTTGTGATGTGATTCGCCTTTCCCTGTTTGCCACTTCTAGGGCTGTTTTTTTTTTCAGTGCAGTATCAGTTGTCAATCTTGAGTCTCTGAGTCTCTTTGGTTCCTTTGCTCTGTCTGCCTTTTCTTCTAATACCTGAGGGTGGATGAAAGCAGCCAAGACTCCATGATTAAGCGTATTCAAGAATGTACTGTTGGAGTCTCATGAGCCTGGCTTTTTGCCTACACAATATGCTGAAATCTCTGCATGGAGATCTGTAAATTGTATTGCTACATCACTTTAATTATAGCCTTGTTCTCGTTTTAATATTGCAGCTGGCTTCTTTGTGTGCTGCAGGACGCTGCCAGTGAGCAACGCTTCTTCTCTTGCCTAGTCCTACTAACCTGGTTAAGGGTGGTTTGCTGAGTCACATTTTTTTTGGTGACCCTGGGCAATGCTCTATCCATAATTAACAAATGAATCCTAAGCAGTAAATGGGTTTCAGTCTACTAAGTACTGAATCATTGTGATGGAGTTTGAGAGTAATCCTAAAACTCCTGGAAGAAGTCAAGGCATATGTAGGACTTGGGATTTAAACCACTGCGATATGCTTGGTGGGAATGGCTTATAGCTTTTTTACTAAGAGTGGGAAATATTTGGATATTAAGGATAAATAGAAAACAGCTGAAATATGTGTATTTAAGCCCATGGCTTGAGAGTCTGGGTCTGTTTTGCTTTGCGAGCTAAGGCGTCGTTGTTTTTACCATTCAGTCTTTCTTAGTGACATTAGTGGATGTAATTTTTTTTCCTTTTGTTTAGTTTCATCTCCTCTGAATAAATGAAGAAAGTGACTATGAAAGCACAGCATCTACCTTCTGTTGCCATCAATGAGGAGAAGTTTATAACCAGGTAAATTATTATAAAAAATAATAATAAAGTAGTGACTTTGCTCTACTCAAGTTACTCTACATTAATTCATTAATTGCCCATC